TGTGAACAATCTCACTTTGTTTTTGGAAATGTTACAGTCAGGCCAACAACCTAAAATAAAATTGTAAAACTTTTAATGCTTCATCTAGATGTGATTATTTATGTTAGAAATAATTTACATAATAAACTTTCTTTGATGGGTTCTTTAATCTCAACCTGGATTGTGAACAGAGATAACATAAACTGTTTGCCTTTCATTAAATTGTCATTATGTGAATTCCAAGATTTCAAGTTACTGTTGAATATTTAAAATTGACGTAAAAGCAACTTGGAAGAAAAACCTCAAGGTTAATTATGTTTTTCCACTGTATGATTTCTAAGTAGATTCTGAAATATTTTCAGAAGCAGGATTTTGGTGCTACTCCATATTACTGTTTTTTACCAAAATGTTTTACAAAAGCTCAAGAAACATCTTGTAAATGTGAGTTGTCTTAACTGTTTTGAACATTATTAAGGTTTTTAATCTGGCCGGAGTATGGAGAGGTGAAAGAGGAGAAATACTGAGAGACAGTAAATGCATACTTTGTAAATACATTTCTCCTTCTTTCTTTCTCGGACCTAGAGACAATAAAAAACGAATTTTATTTCAAATTGATGACAAGATTTCCTGCACACGGAACACATATCTCAAGGATCTCTTGCCAGACTGTGGTTTCAGGGAGGATCCTAATTGCCATGAATCCAGTGGAGAAACCACCCTCCCTACAGAGACTGCTGAGGAGGGCAAACGACTATGCAATGGAGATATATTTTTCATAACAGATGTAAGCCCTTGCTGCAAGAACTTGCACAAAAAAGCCCAGTGGTAACTGATTCAGTCCTTGAATCGCCAGAACAAACCAATAAACAATTCACACTTTGTCATTTTAGTCCGTAATATATACTTAGGTCTTCTGCTAAACTATCATGTGAAAGGCAAGAAAGAGGCAGACTAAGAATAGAGAACTAAAAAAGAAAAATCTCTGGGTGTTTTTGTAAAATGTGTTTCAGTTGGTCTGCTTGTGTCCAGCGCAAATACATTCTGTACCTACTCAAATGTATGGTAATGGAAATGGATAATGTTTTGGATATAGGTAGAAACATAGTCTTAAGTAAAGAATGAAGCTAATGTTACAGCTTGAGTTCTCCCCTGGCAGAAAACTAAGCTGACCAAAAAGTACAGCAACAAGACCTCTGTATTTTTCTATGGGGTTCAGCGAGTTGACTCAGCAGAGGGTCCAGTGAAAGCATCAATATTTGTGTATGGGAAAGGGGGATCATACAGGGTTGGCTGGAGAGAGCAGGCTCTTCTCTGTTTGTGGCAACAAATTGCTAAATGGCCTCACTGGTATATTTCTCTCTACCCTAGATAATCTAAGGTTTCTGGGGGTTAAAACTGCCTTCCTCAGCATTTCTCTTACTAAACAGAAGGAGTTAGGGTAGGCCCTGTACAGTGAAACTATTTTCCTCGAAGGTGGTCAGTGAAAGCAATCTTCTGGGTTTAGTGTCTTCTTGAAACTATTTCACTTGGTTGACATTGCAGCTATTGTAATTTCAGGGAAAGCTAGAATATGGACGCACAGAGATGTATAGACACTGATCAAACTGCTGATACAAGCTTACTGACAAGTGTTCTTGTGCAATTTCTTTAGGATGTAGAAATTGATAAACAGCGCTTATTGACCATCAGCAGCACGTACGGCTCCACGTTCACTGTGAAGTATAAGGCACTGAAGAAGCTATGTCGTATAAAACATGCATGGGCCAGAACTATTCACACATTTCAGGTAAAAATAAAGAAGCTATGAGCTGATAAAACTTTCTCATGGCTTTATCTTGCTAGTGCACTGTATTTTCATGTGAAAGAATCAGAAGCTCTCTTGAAACTAAAATTCCTTGAGTGCAGGATAGAAAATATTCTTGAGAGTGTCCCCAGTTGTCTCCAACTTCCTTGTTCTTGTCTTTTTTTTTTTTTTTTTTAACTACTTACTGGAGATGTTACTTTAATAAGGTGTTCTTAAACATGTTTCAGGGTTCTGAGGAAAAAACTGTTGTCTACGTGGTTGGCAATCCTGGCCGTCAGCACTGGCAGCACGTGTACACAGCCGTGACCAGAGGACGCTGCCGTGTCTATGTTGTAGCTGAAGAGATGCACCTCAGGAGAGCAGTCACTAACAAGAACATGCCCAGAAAAACTCGCTTACAGCGATTTTTGAGAGAGGCAATCGCAGAAAGAAGCAACTGTCCCAAACAGACTTCCTCTCCCCTGACGAAGAGCTGGCAAAGTCAAGAGCTTGAGACTCGGTCTGGTCCTGTAAGTCAAGGTGCTCCTGACCCCCCTGAGCCTCTCACTGACTTGATTAAACAGGAAGGGTCAGCAGTTCCTAATAAAGAACAGCAGAGGGGCGCTTTGCAGCAAAGTCCATGTAAAAGACAACAAACTCTTGCAGAGAATTCTGAGGATGCTAAGAAAACACCCCCTGTAAGTATCTCCTTACTGAGAAAGTTTAAAACAAACTTTTGCACTCTCTTTCACCACCGCAAGTCACCTGGATACTGTTACGATTGTTTTATTATGATTTATTTAATAATTTTCAAGATGACCAGTAACTGGTGAAGCAGTCAAGCTTGGCAGATGTTTTCCCAGAGTAATATATGACTAATAGGGAAAAAAAGTTACAATGTTAACAGCAGTAAATTTATACCTCTTGTTACTCATTGGCGTGATCCGTTGGCTAGCTTAGCCTGTATTAGCTCATTCTTTGTGTACAGAAGTCAGTTTTTAGGAGCTGACCTGCTGTGAAAGATTTATATAAAATTTAATCGTTGAAGTTGATTTTTATACAGTCAAACATGCTTAACAGATGATTTTTTCATTATATCAATTTCTGAGCGCTGTCTTGGGGAAAGAGCTTTTTTTGGAAGATGTTACTGTGTTTTAGTTCTGGTTCAACCTCTGATAACATTTTTGTTTTGTTTCGACAGACAGCGGTAAAAGATTCCCCACTTGGGTCTTCCAGACTTATGAATCTAACTTTGGCATCACCAACTCCTAGGAAGCTTTTCAAAAGCTAACAAACAATTAACTGTCCTGGTTCTGAACCTGTTCTGTTCAAGATTTTTGGAACAGAGGAGCTGGGTATGCAGATGATTTTCAGCAGCCTTCCTGAAAGCTCATCCACCAAATTGCTGGATTTGCATGTTCTATGAGGAACAGCTTGTTTTAAAGTGAGCCTGTTACGTTTTTAGTAGGAGATTCCTTGGTGTATCAGTCATCAGAAATCATATTGTTGTTTTGTTTAGGTGAAGAATGAACTTACAGGTCTTATAGGATCCAGATGTTCCCTTAAAAATATGTGGGGATTTCTAGGCTTAAAGACTGTAGCCATCCATACCAAGATTTATCCATCTCCTAATGCTACAGAACTGACGAGAAGGTATTACTGATGTGCTGAAACTGCAGTTTGCTCAAGAAATAGCTTACAAAGGGGACTTCAGATTTTTCTAAATTATGAGCATGAAGCTTTGATAGATTATGGATTTTAATCTTGTTATAAACAGAACAAGAAAGTTGCAGTCAGTGACATAGAAAATTTTTCCCGCATTGTACTTGAAAGTACACGTAGAACTTGCCATTGCTGCTTTAGCTAATAGTTATATGCTGATAATCATCTGGGTAAGAAAAGCAAAATTCCAAGTCAGACTTCAAATAACATTCCACTTTCAACCTTTTTTTGTGTATTATGTGACTTGTGGCATTGTAATAAGCTGAATGTTTAATCAAGTATCAGACAAATTGTACTAAAATTTGGACAGCTTGCTTACTTTTAACAATTTTTTTTTTTACACATACGGCAGGAAAAAGTGTACCACAAATATAAAAAATGTTATTTTTTTGCTAAAACTATGGAAAAAATATAAAGTAGAAAAATGCTACCTCATTTTTAATGTCTTTAAATCACTGTTTATTTCAATTTATACAGTTTTTCCATACAAATAGTTGCAATGGTTTGAATTTCAAAAAACATAACATAGACGATAAATATCATGCTATTAAAGTATTAAATTTGTACAAAAATACTTTACAGTTTAATACTTATTTGTTACAAATAAAAATACATATTTAAGTAAGTGACTCATGAACTTTTTTTTTTTTTTTTTACATGATTCAGCAGTGAATGTCATTCTGACCTTTTCTGGCAGTGCTGAAATAGAAATCAGAGATACGTGTGTGTGTGTGTGCAGGGCAGGTGAGCTTGGTCATGTCTTGGAAACAGCAACAGGGATACAGTTAAACAGTTTCAATTGACCAGAAACAACTCTGTAAGGTGATTGCTTAGATATGGAGACTCTACAAATGTACAAATCCAGTATCTTTATATTCACCAATAACAAGAATTACCAATAACAACTTGAATACCGGAATAAACCAAAGCAGCTGCTGGTGAGCATATAAAGCAACTGGCAGTATTTTATTGCTTGAGGGGAAAGGAGAGAATTGGTGTGATGTGTTTGTAAAATATATTTACAATTTTAAATTCTAAAAACCTGTTGCGGGGCTAATGTTTATCATAAAGAAGGCTGAAAACAAAGCACATTAAATGGGACTTTTGTCCCTTCAAGAAATCGTTTGACTTACAAAGCTCATGTGTGACAGTACAAGTTTATGGATCATTGAAGAGCTTTTGTATCAATCTTCCGCTGACTTAGTTTAAAAAAAGCCATTTTCTTTCGAAACCTTTTTAATTTGTCTGAACTCATTTCAGTTTTACTCTTGTCAGTAATCCTCCTTCAGAGGTTTTATCTCACTAAAAAAGTCTCTGCTTAAAAATCCCCACAGATTGCAAGACATACTGTTAAATATTTCATTGCATAGGGAATAGCATACGTTTTAAGAACATTTACCAAAGTGGGGAAGTAATGTTCACCGCATACTGCAGCTTCCTACAAGCATTTTGTTAAAATATCTAAACCATGCTTTGGCTGAAGAGTGCACCCTTCTTGCTAGCAGAATAAAGGTCCCCAAAATCACAGATGTAGCCATTTAACAAGAAAACCCAGTGCAGCATACCACTCTTCCTTGTCCATCAGGCAGCACCTTTCTGATAAAATGTTTTTAAAAGCCATGTAACCTGAACACCACTGTTAGCAGAGGTTAACTCCGTGCTTCTCCCTCAAACAGCAGCTGCTGCTGAAGGGAGAGGAACATTTAAATCATGTTTAAAACATCTCCCCAGTTTCTTATTTGGGGAGTGGGGGAAAAGGCCCTTATGATTTTTTTGTACTGTTGCTAATGCCAGATTGTTTAGAATGGAATGACTTGACTTAATGAAGACTTAAACTTTTTCAAAAGTAACCGTGAATTAATACAAGCCTTGAGACAGACAGACTGACCTCCTGTGCTTTTTTAGTGCTATACAGCATCTGAGCCTCAATCTCAGAGAAATCTTACAGGGATTTAGCACCATAATTGTCTTTCGTTACTGAATGTCCCACTACAATGGTTTTCTGCTATAATGTATTAGTGGGATCCCGTGTCTCTTTATGGACATTGGTGTGTCCACTCTGCTGAAGGAAGGCGTTACTCTGATCGCTCCACTCCCCGCTCACTGAAGTCGGTTGTTCTAAGCTTCCTTTCTGAGATGCCAGCGGGTTCCTGCTAATAACCAGTTCCAGCTTATTGCCGGATTCTGCGATGAGGGGCACAACGAGACAGCAGTCAAAGTCTCTGGTGCGAACGTGGTTTACCTGAATGATCAGAAGATTGATTTTTGTTACCATTTTAGGGAGAAGAAATGAGATCACAAGAGAAACAGATTTATCCTTGAGACTATGGAACCCGATTTAAATATTCCACGTAGAGAATTGCCCAGTACAAGACTATTTAACCCTGGCGTCTGGTCTGAATTCACCAGTTAAGTTTTCTACTCACCCTTTAATGGAATGTGGCTAAAGTGGGCATATTTGCACTGGTGATAGCTGTTGGCAGCTGTCACCATGCCCACTCCATAAATTACATTTAACAGCACACAGTTATTCTGTCTTTCAGGGTGTTCATTAATTCAAATGCAATAGATCACATGTAAAATTTCAATTCAGTTCAAGTCTTCTCTAGTTTTAATTAATATATCAAGAATTTTATTGGGCTAGTTGACAAAAAAATTTAGTTTTTCCACCACGATCCAACTTGGCACTGTGGGAAGTGTGGCGTTCAGTGAGAATTACAACTATGGCGATCAACAACTTGGATTAAGCACAGAAACAATTCTCAAGTCTGTATCACGAACAGCAAAAATTACAAAGCACATTAAATGGGACTTTTGTCTGGAAATGCCTTAGGAAATTCCAGCTTTCCAGTGAGCATTTGTATGTCTCCTTTAGAGTTCTGAAATAATACCTAACATTCTGAAAGAATTTATTTCTTTAAATATGATTTTACAGAAAAATCTAGCCTTAGTGCCACTGCATAAAAGCCCAAGTCACCATGAAGTGCTGCCTTTTACTGAGGGTCTCAGTGATTTACATGGCCCGTGGCACAGAGCAATGACAGTCATTTGTCCTTCTTCCCGTCCCCCTACACATATCCTTTCCCAGCAGAAGTGGAACAGTACTGCTCATAATTTAAAATATCATAAGCAATGTAGATAGTAAGTTGTTCAAAGTAAGTGGTGTAAACACTTTATGCAATTTTACAATCAGGTCTGTGTGCACAGCTACCCAAACACCCTGCAGTGTGCTCACAAATCTTTTTTACAAAGTAATCTGCATGTAAAAATCTTTTTACAAAGTAATCTGTCCCTTCATGCCAAACCTGTGCGGTGCCAGAAACATTACCTGTAAAAGTCTGTCGTATGGTTTTAAACCTCCCAGATCGCCAGGGCCAGCTGGTCGAATATTTTTAACATACACTCCTTTTTCCAATAAACCATCTGAGACACTGAACCCAAAGTCTTCTCCATCAGAGTCCTTGTACAAAGTTACCTGTGGAGGTGATTTGACATGATAAGAAGGAAAAGAAAAAAAAAAAAAAAAAAAAAAGAAAAAAGAAAAAAAAAGTTTGTCCACATCTCTACAAGCACTAGGCAGGCTTTCTTCCTAGCCTGTTTTGGGTGGGGTTTTGTTTTGTTTTGTTTTTTCCTTTTTCTCCACATGAGAGAGCTCACTTACCTACTATTTGGTACTTACAGTATTATATGAGGGCTGTCCCCATTTTGACATTACATTAGTATTCTCAGAAGCCTCCTTATTCTTCAGTAATGAGCAGCCCTTTTCACTTCTGCTTGTCAACTGGAAATTTGTGGGGTTTTATCCCACCTTTTGTGGTGGTTTTTTTTTGAGTCTTAGCTTTTTCCTACCTTGTTCTCTAGTTGCCAGGATCTGAGTACAAGCAGCCAACTGGTTATCCAATTAAGTTTAGTTTTGCTTCAGAGCTGAAGACCTGGCCGCAACCAACCAATCGCTGTTGTGTCTTCCAAAACTTCCACAGGGCATAAACGCCCCCCGCCCCCAGCACCGTAAGCCCTAGCCAGCTTGGTTTCGGCCAGGCAATGGTCCACCCTATAAGGCTTAATCTCAAAAGTGCTCAGTATGAGAGTTACAATGCAATCTTTTACGAGAATATGAATAAGGCTCCTTCAGAAAGGGCTTGCAGGCAGTGTTCTTACAGTCACATAGGCAAGAGACGGTCATTCAAAAGCAGGAAATGGAAGTTAATAAAACTGTTAGGGGAAGGTTTTTCAGGTGTTCAGAGATCAAGTCCTCGCAGGTAGTTTTTGTGAATTCAGTTACTTGATGATAAAGTATTCAGAATTTTTCATAGGTATGTGGTATGCTTAGGTGGTTGGTGGTTTTTTTTTTTTTATTTCTGTGGGGTTTGGGTTTTTTTCCCCCTTGCTTCTCTGTCACGTGAGTGCAGACCTATACAAGAAAATTGTGCGAGTCAGTGGTCTGACAACTGACTGACACACTGATGCTGGCACAAAATGTGTGTGCAGATACAGCCACACAGTCAAAACTGGGCTTTTACTGCTATAGGTTTTTTTTCACTTGGTTTCCAAATACTGATTCAAAACGTACCGCGGCTGATAAAACAAAAACATTAAGAGTACTCTGTAATTTTTATAATGGCTGGGTAACAGTAATGCGCCATGTGCTGCACCCTTGTGTGTGCCAGCCACCGAATTCCTTTTTGGTGTTTCTGAGTCACAGAATCCTTCAAACTGGAGGGGACTTGGGGAAGTCTCTGGCCCAATCTCCTGCTTAAGGCAGGACCAAGACCGAATTCAGATCGGGCTGCTGAGGACTCGGTCAGTATTTCATAGAAGAATGCCAAGACACAGCAGTGCTGCGGCACAGCACCGGCTGGTGCTGCCTTCAGAAAGCTTGTGAGATCCTGCCTTAACTGCCGTTGTGAAAAGGTAAGCAAGAACAGACAAGGTTGTCTCAAAACAGGAGTGAAGGATTTGGTCAGATCAACAAAGAGCACAGATAGTCGCGTGTGGGGTTTTTTTTTTCCTGCTCTCTGCAGTTTTCTTGAATTTACTTAGCTTTAGTGGTGTATCAGCAGTGCTTTAATCAGAATGGGAATAGACTCACTGGTAAGGTTGGTAGCTATCCTGGGCAACAGCTGAGAGAGGTTGGCTACAACGCCAGCTGCTGCAGCCCTGGCACCATTTCATCTGTAGACGTGGACAGGGCATCGCTGGGCTGCTGTGAAAACATCTCCCTCTCTCATGCCGTGGTAAGCACTAACACCCCCCCCCAGTATTCATCCCTTACTTTACACCAGGTCCTCCTCTTCCTCTTCCCTTGTTTTTCTGCTGTACAGCACAGCAAAGCAGAAAGCCACACCTAAAGTCCCGTTAACTAAACTGAAGACTTTCTCCCTTCCAGTGACTTTTTTGGGTATGAGCTGTCATTTTAAACTTCCCAGTGGCTGCTGTGTTTAAGGTCTTTGCCACCTTTTCTCCCATCTCCCCCCAAAGTAACTTCTTGCTGAACCAGTCATACTTCCTCCATCTCAGCGTGAATTTTAGAAGTCAATGAGCATTTCAGCTACTGAAAAACCTATCCGCAAATTCAAAATAATTCATCACAGAATGACTTTAATTTGTATCAACAGCTGCTGTACCAGCAGGAGTCTGGGAAACTTCTAATAATTTTTTATCGATAGAGGCTTTTGTTTGTGATATAATAGCATGTCTAACATGGCTTTGATCTGAAGTATGTTTGAAGCTGCTATGGAGGTGCTGCAAGACCATTCTACAAGACCAAAAAAAATAAAGGAGGGAGATACATTTTATTGACAGATTTGTGTGCATTTTCTGGCAAGAATGAAAAATAATTAGCACTGGACAAAGACACAAATTCTCCTCACAGGAGATGGTAACTTTTTCCCACACTGTCACAAAGGATAGGAGTGCTTCATGTTCACCGCTTCTTAAAGAAGCCTTGAAAAGTAAATGTAAAAATGTGATACAGTACCTAAGAGGAGAAGACTCACTTAAAATACTAGGTGCTGTTCTAGCACAGATGGCACAATTTTTAAAAGGAACTTGCCCTTTCCACTTTTTCTTTCCCCCTTCCTCTTCCTACAGGGCACTGGAGTTAGGTGGAGCTGGATCCCGCCTCAGATGAACTACAAAAACATATGAAATGGGGCTCTCTGAAGTCATCTAGACTGTGTTCTTGCCCTAACGTAGGATCAACTGCATCTCACCCATTTCTGAGAGACATTTATCTGTCCTGGTTTTTAAAATCTCCAGCGATGGAGACTCCACAGTCTATTAAAGTCATCCCTTCCAGTGCTTCAGATGTTTTTCTTAGGTCTGAACTGAATTGCCCTTGCTGACAGTTAAGGCTGCTGCTATCCACAGAGAACAAGATCACTTTATTCTCTCCTTCTCTGCAGTGATGTGAAACAAGGATTGTTTTTCTCTGGACTCTCTGCAGTAGGTTAGCCTCCGTTTTTCATTTTCAGACCCCAAACGGGACACTCTATTGCAGTCAAGACCTTATCAAAGCCAAGCTAGAGTAGAGAATAATTCTGCATATACTACAGGTGGTGGTACCATTTGTATGGTCTAGGACAGTGTTGCTTTTTTCCTATTTTTAGTGAGTGGTGTATTAGCAAACAAAATACATACAAATCCTGTTCCAGGGATCTAAGGAAGTGCTATTCCACATAGGCTCACCTGATCTTGCATCTATCTACATGCTACTTCATGCCCAGCTTGTGAGTCAAAAAATGGAGCATTGCAAGTGGTAAGGGACATGAAAGTGGAGTTTTGCTGTGGAGGTAAGAAACTGCGTTTGCAGAACAGGGGGAAGTACTGCAATAGTGGGGCACGAAGGGAAGCAGAACTTGAGAATGATCAAAATCTTTTATTGCCCCCGTAGTTGTTCAGGTTGGACTTGCCTGGTTTATATGGACTGAGCACTCCAGAACGTAATTACTCACTACCCTGCAAGCAGAACTTTTATGTATATTTTCTCGTATCTCTGGTTCTTCAGATCTACAAATCATAAAAGATTTTAAAAAACTGTTTTCCTTATGGCTATCTTCTTTTGACTTTTGGTTTATTTAACAGGAGCTTGGAAATAAAAGAAACTCACACTTATCCACTTAAGGGATGAGGCTGTGATCTAACTTGGTTGTATGTTTGACAGCTGTCACATTTTTTAGGTGCAAGCCATCTGCAGAGAACTTTCTTTTCTTATGGGCTACTTCTTTTTAGGGCAGCATATATTCTTAAAAGGGAATCTCAGAGTAAAAACCCTGCTATCTGAAATACCCAGATTTTTTTTTTAATAATGGGTATGGGCAAAGCCTTACCACACAGGTTTCTCATCTTCACTTGTCAGTAGCGCAGCCCTGTCTGAAGGGTATGAGATTGCAGGCAATTCATGCAACACCTAAAGCATGCTGTTTTATCTGTACTTCTGATCACAACTGTTTGGAAGGTTTGATCTCAATAGCAAAATCTCCATTATGGGCAATTTGTTAGACTTTTAAATTTACATCAGGAGCCTAAGGGAAAAAGAAAGCTGAAATGGAAATTTAATTCATATTTCATAAGCAATTAAACAGTTACACATTTTAAACAGAGGCTTACAAGTTTTGAGTCTGTTTCTATGCCTCCCCTCACTCTCAAATCTGTGGGAAAATGCTTAATTTAAATTCATACATCTTGCACAGATCAACTATTGAGGTATTTTAACCGACTGTAATTTTAGGTTAATGACTACTTGCAATAATAATATTGAAAAATTATCTGAAGTCTAGTGCATATTTTTGCTCTCAGAGGAATGCATGCTCTATGAAACTTATAAAAATGGTCTGCTATGATTTTTAGAAAAATATTAATCTATACGCTTACCTAGGTAGATAAAATACATTAAAGGCATTAATTAAATTTAGGTACTGATATAGCAATATGCTATCCAGTTAAGTTAAATGTTACTTATTAAGCCATCTAGAACAAATGTTTGAACAGATTCGTACGACACTTATCTCAATCGTAGCTTCCTCGGGACAAAGACAGTTCAAGTACACCTTTGGTGAATGTGATGCAGTGAAATAAGAAAGAGCAGTGAAGAATTCAGGTTAACTTGCTGCAAAGTTTGCAGCATTCAGTGACATAATCCTCAGGGCCATGTTACCTTTCTGACAGGTGCACATCTGGGAAGGACAAGCTAGCAATGTCATCTGCTCACCATCCTGTTCCATTAGACTTACTCATTTGTGTTTGTAGCCTGAGCAGTTTTAATCCAGTCTTACTCTCTCTTACCCTGTACAGTCGGACTGGCTATTGATGCATTTCATTTTTATGTGTGGCTTTTTCTTTGGTAGAATCATATATTCTTGGTCTTTCACAATCAGATTCTGAATTTTCACAATCAGATTCTGAAAAACCAGTGGAACATCGCCCTTCGATGGCCCGTTTTCTGCAGTCAAACTTAAGGTATGAACTCTGATCTACAGGGCACATGGGCCCTGACTCAACAGGCATGCAGACTCATCGCACTGAGGCAGTAAACAGGCACCTGACCTGTCCTGCTGCAGAAACTGAGAAAGCTCAGCAGCCTGCAGTCAAGTACATGCTTGAACGTCTTGCTGAGGTAAGTCTTAGGCAAGCTATGTCTTAGCGTATATTTCAAAGACTGTTTATACCATCACAGTTTTCCAAAAGAGTTCTTATTTCACTGGTTGTCCCATCAGTGGCCCAGCTGATTAAGACATTTGCCTGCAGAGGGCAGACCACATTTGCCAGTAAGAGCTGTTATGAAAAATACTTAAATCAAGGCATTTCTCTGACAGCGAAATGAAGTCATTCCTGTGGCATTGCAGCTCTTATGGAAAACGATCATTGGACAAGCTGTCCATGAGAAAGAACAACTGAACAGGTTATTAGTGTTAAACTAGAGGTCTAATACAAAGATGAAGGAGGAGCAAGAAAGTAACAGGCACATTGCTACACAAGAACCAGGAAAACTAACAAATAAGAACTTGCTAAGATGGGCATGAATACAAAAGCAGCCCAGGATGCTTGGGTTAACCTGCATGTGTGATCACAGGGGTACAAGCCCAGCCTGCTTCGGTGAATCAGACCATAAGATCCAGTCACTGGTTTCTGTTTGTCTTAAATGACTGTAAGGATTTGGAAAATCCTTGGTGCAGGTTCACCTTTTAGATTTTTAGAAAGGAAATTATTCTTTTCTGGATGACAGAATAGCCAGTATAAGCAAACTCAGCATCACTTCAGTAGACAGTGGAAAAGTGGGTATATTGTCTGAACAAAACCTGGAAATTACTAAAATGGAAGGTCACAGCAATCTTAAAAAATAGACAACTGAAGTTAGAGAAAGCTCAAGGACAGGGTATTTTTTACTGCCCAGGAGTCTAAGAACTAGCAGCTACCACAGAATACTGACTCATTAATAGAAATCTGACTCCTCCTTTCCAGGAAAGGATTTATTTTATCCATCATGAAAGGCTGGTTTTATAATCCACAGGAGAAAACTGTGCCTTTGCCGAATGCGAGCACACCATGAAATGCCTACTGGCATAGTTTTGTTTTATATGTCACATTTACTTGCCACTCAGGAAAACGGAGCACAGAACTAACTCCGTTAATCACTTCACATGCAGCTGAAAATATGAATAGCTTAAAACTATCACAACACATCCTATTGATCGTTTACGCTGGCAATGGATTAATTTTCCATATATAAGATCCACTCTCCTTCTAGAAATATTCATTTAGCCCATACTCAGTGAGCCCTTACCTCACTGAACTACAAACTAAACTTGGTTAAACCCACAGGGACTAGAAACCAAACCAACTCTCTTGAGAACGACGATGTCTTAACGAAATTTCTCCATGCTTCTGCCTCCTCTCTGGGAAGATCTCAGACCTTTAAGAGGATGATGGGTGCAGGAGATGGGAGGCTCTTTCCCATCAAGCACTATAATGTCCCCCAAAGTTTGGGAAACTGGTTGCTGTTACTGCCTCACAGGACTTGAGACTGAAGCAGGTAGGGTGTTTGCTCTGCACGTCTAAAGATACTTTATCCAGTACTTCCTTGGGGTGCAGAGCCACCTTCATATCACCAGGGGATTTCAACAGTCTTGAGCAGTGAAAAGTTGCACAGACTGAAGATTATTTATCCTTTTTAGAGCAAAGGAATTACAAAGAGAAGAGAAGCAATAGCTAACCTGAAATAACATTCTATATTATGTACATCGAGCCTTATGTATTTGATTCAAAATGAGTGTTAATTTGAAAAAGGACCAATGGGAGCCCCAAACCCTCCTGAGTAATTTCCTAAAGAAACGTATCTTCTAGAAATTAAACTTTGCGTTCTTAATGAACACATTTTGCAGAGATGAGTTATTGGTATTGTCAATTCAAATTACCAGTGGATCATCCTTGCAAAAGAGCAGTCCCTTTTGAGGATTTATTGTAAAACGAAATAGTAGACAAGGATGCATCTTATTTGTTTGTTTTCCCCACAAGGATATATCATTAATGTGTTTGTAAGAACTAATATGCATGGCCCCCAAATTACATCTGTGGAGTCATTATAAAAAGTGCTTACTGTATTGCCATATAATTAGATTCCCTATGCTGAATACATTATTTCAAAGCTGTCAGAAGAAAATTACAGACCTTGTGTAACTCCACAGGAGTTGGTGACATGATTTCTTTCATTTCTTGCTTAATTTTTCTCAGAACCATGGACTTTCTCCCCACATCTGACGGCAATGTGTTGCTACGAGTAGCTTGACTGTAATGTGGCCTTACAGTACTTCTCTCCTGGAAGCTGGCTTGTCTTCCCAGCTGGCTACGAGGTTGTGGGTTTTCGTGATTCAAACTCATTGTACTTCCTGACATAATTGTGGCCTAGAGCATTAATGAACAGGTTAACAGAATGTGGGTTAAGCAAGTGGTTAATTCATAGCAGTAGGAAAAACATCTCTATTCTTTGTTAAAACACAATCACTCAGGGCACAGCAAAAGGCAAGAGGATAGATGTTCAATCTGCTTGCAAGTCACTATAAAATAAAGGACCACAACAAAACACAACAACAGTAACAAAACCCTATGGGCAAAAGTTTTCAGATGGCATTTCAAACTAAAATACTGAGCACTAGAACTTGCTTGTAAGCTAGTCCCCTGGCAGACTGAAGAGTTTGTAGTATAATCGCTTATTTTAAAAATATTTTACATGTAAATAAAATGATATTTAAGTCGTGGCATAATTGCATTTGTTGGAATCGGAACTATAGGAAGGCATTTGCAATTCAGACTGTGTGTGCAAGGTAAAAAAATGTGAGTCAGCAGAATATGTAGGCAGCTCCAGAGTCAGCACTGGCAGAGTGTGCCCGGATACCATCGCAGGCCGGGGAGAGCTCAGTGCAGGTAAGCTCACTGCCTGGAAAGAAACTCTGCATAACATGCATATTGCAAGAGTAACTGCCTTAGCTTAGCACTAATACTTCAGAGACACAAGCCCCTGTCTCAATGCTGGTTTTAATCTCAGGAAAAGCTAGCCTTTTACGTTAGACACAAGAATACACGGAGGGTGAAATATTGAAAGAAGGTGATGGCAGTCATCTCATCCAGTGGGTGGAACGGACTGACACGACGTGCACTGCAAGGAGCCTCCTCCCTTGTGAAAGACTTTCTGCTCTGGGGAACAGGAGGCAAATGCTCTTTGGCGCAGCCACCGTACAGAGGTGCCACTGCTGGGATAGGGTACGCTGAATTTCCTATTTATTCTCCCTGGTGCCGATGGATAAGTGAAAAGGGAAACTAAAAGGTCATAACCTAAACTCTGGGACAGGATGCAGGCAGCCTGCTTGAAAATGAGAAGTAAAAATGGGGGGGGGGGGGGGGCGCGGAAATAAGGGGAGAACCGGCAAATAAACGTTTGCTTCTGACTCTGGTGAGCATGTCTGTTACCCTTCTTTCTTCCAGCTCCAGCACTACTTTCACTACAAGATAATGCATTGTAGCCTTAACAGTCTCTCTTGTGCTCAGTAATGACTGATATTACTCCCTGATGGAGCAAAAGCATCCAGAGGACTTGGCAAACAACAGTTTTCTTTGCTCTTTGGCTGAAGACCTTGAAATGAAAAACGGTAAGGAGTCCTTGGACTACACAATGGCACTTCATAAAACAGGCATCACCATTCTTAGCATCCTATCATATTGAGTCTTGCTTTCCTTTCAGAGCTGGGCATTGTGCAACAAGGCAATGCTATAAATGAGACAGCATCTACAGTTCTGAATTTCACTTTTGTGAAGGGGTGAAGAAAATTCAGCGTGCTGACGTAACTGAATTCTGGTGAGCATGAATGATCTATTTCCATTTCGGAATTATCTATTTCCATATCCTTTCATTGTGCTCTGAATATTGAAAATTGCAAGAGAAGCCTGTGGTACTGAACCATATCTAACTACGGAATTAAACCAGTGTAACATTTTCTCCTACATTTCTCTGGTTTGCAATAACAAATACATGAGAATCACATTTTGCTACCCACACATGCAACACAAAAGCCATAATCTGAGGAAGTAAATTAATCTGAACGGAAAAACTTTCACCCAGTTATGCCATTCACATTCCTCCTGGCTGCTAAAGGACTTTATGTAACGTAAAAATGAAAATGAGATTCTGCCAGTTTTGCAGCTCCAGGAATTTAAAAGAACATAAAAGAAAATATTTTAGGACCTTTCATTCCGCAGCTTTAAGTGGCAGTATAATCTTAATTGTTCTGATTAGACAACTTAAAGAAAAGGTGACTAGAAAAATAAAGACTCAAAGTTACTCTGTCTCTATTCCCTTCCCCCTCTACCCCCCTTCACAATCTAACACAAAGCATGGTTAGATTTGCAATTATCTTCAGGATGAAATGTGAAAATTTTTTACATAGTGAAGAAATTGCTGTGTAACGAACATTTCTCACATTGGCAGCTTTTTTTTGCAGAGTGGTAAGATTATAGGTAAATATTTTGAAAAGCTGATTTTCTTTTATGTTCATCTTAATCAAATTGTTTCAATTTAAAAGGCAACCTACAACATGCTAAGAAAAGCTGCATAAAGCGTCTGTCAGAGAATGGGATGCGTTGCTGCAGGAAGGTTATGCCCACTTAGGAAGTTCTGCGCCATTTGCTGCCTGTGCAGACAGCACCAATGGTTATGCACAGCAGAAGCTGCAAGTCAAAAGCTCTGGGGTGAACATGTTTGTAGAATTTTGGTTGCATTGTACAAAAGAAAACAGCTCTGGTTAGGGGCGGGGGAGGCAGCTGCACAAGCGAAAATATAAAGGTAAAGGGTAGGTACCAAGAGAGTCATGTTTCTCAAACACAGACGCCTGTCAGCCTTGTCCTGTGGAGAGGGGTTAAAGCTTTTAAATGAATTGGTGTGATTAGTGCAACTTAAAAGAAAAAAAGGAGAAAATAAAATGAATGTAAACCAAACCAAAACCATTATATTTCTCTATAATTGGAAAGAAAGGTTAAGATTGTTCTACCTCTAGTTCCCTCAGAATTCCTGACTGGCCACAGGTCTCTAAATCCTCCAGAGCCTGAGACCAGAAATTTTCCTCCTGGTCAGCCTCGGTGTTATCATGGGTACCTGCGAAGCTAGATTTACAATGAGAGGTTAAAAAAAATGTGGACTTTTTTTCCCTCGAAAAATATATTTTACACAAGTGCCTTGCCACAGATTGCAACTCGAATGACAGAACGTTACGGTAGGTAGGCAGGAGTGGGGAAGAGTCGCTGTTCAGGAGAGGCTGGATGAGCATGCAGAGCACATGACAGACAAGTCTTCTCATAACCTGGCAGTTGCTAGCAGCTGGCAGGATCTGAGCAGCGAGTTATTCAGTAAGGAGATAAATGGATTCCAAGAACAATTCAACACACATTTTTACTGGATTGAAACTGGGACCTCCCATGAAAATTAATGAATCAACCAGTAGCTGTGTGCAGAGCTGCTCCGTGCAACAAATATTTGCCATAAAACCTTTCAACCTCACAGGCTTCTTCCAGGGAATATGAAAAGAGCCCTCATTTTTGCAAACAACATTTTGCAAAAGAGGGATGGTGGTGCTTTTTACCTCATTCCTTCAGCCTAAGCTGCATTTATCATTATCAATTTAAGCCCACCTGACTGTCATCATATAAACTGCTCCACTCATTTCATACACAAACACAGAGAAACTTTCAGGGATGCAACTGTCTTTCATGGAGACTTAGGTCTCTGGTGTTTCATAAACGCACCAAAGCCTAATTACTAGCACTCTTGAGCAAGATGTTGGTGACAGCGATGCTTAGGGAAGTGGCCCAGCAAAAGAGGTCTGATAAAAACCGCCAACTCTGGACTGCAGCAACACAGCCCAAAGCAACACCATTACAGTGTATGTGTGTGTGCGGAGGAAGCAGGAGTTTTTTGCTGTCTTAGCAAGGGGAATCAGCTCAATGAAGGTTCACACAAGCGTCAGAGCTGCTGCACGGGAGGGGGCTGGTTATGTGAAAGGCATAGGGGAAGGATGAGGAAGGAAAGAATGAGAATTTGCCCTTTTGGCCGCAGCAAGCTGTTACTTCAGAGCAGCTGCCCATGGACTGCAGCTAGTGGTGCTTAACAGCACATAAAGAGAGCAAACACTATTACAGAAGCATCTGAGGCCTTGCTTGACAACCAATGTATTACTGAGAATAGCGTGAATGTAACACTGTTAACAGAATAGCTTTTAAATAGGAGAATTGCCCAGCACAACAGACGACAGCTTGAATGCTTCACACACGTGATACTCTGCCTCAGAGATGCTTTCTTACAGTTACGATCAGTCAAGCAGACAATGGTCAGCCATTTCAATCTCTTATTGCAATGATTCTCCATCTAGCATCAGTGTTTCTTCTAAGATATTGCAATAGATACAGCAATGGTGAGAATACCTACTCAGATCACAGATGCAATTCCTCTCAGGCAAGATAAGAAAGTATTTAAAACATGATTTTAGAAAGATCCTTGACTTCTGAAATTAGCTCTTTCAATAAACCTAAGTAGTTGTTTTAATAGCCAATACTGAACATAGACTAATTTACCCATTACCTTTCTTAATATTGCATACTAGTATTATAATATGAAATGGAACTTGAGTTAATGAACAGGATTATTTGAGGCAATTGTCTGCGACAGCAAAGACTGGATTTCCTAGAACTGGAGGTCCACTTCTCCAACTTCTGTGAAATCTGAAATCATGATGCCTATACGTCTGGACCTCTTTTTAGCTGAAGCAATTCCTTTTTCTGCCCTCATGTCCTCTTTTGCCTTTTCTCTGAGTCTTGTCTCCTGCTGTGTGAAATGCTCAACTTTTGCATCTCCATTATAGCCACGTGAATAAACTGATTTGTAGCTGAGCTACTGCACCAGAAAAAAAGAGGTACCAAAATAATTTCTCATCTAGATGGCTTTTTTTCCTGAAACCTGAGAGATTGATTTTATGTCATGTGAAATATTGTGTGACCTATAACAAATATGTTTGGTTTTCTGATGCTTATTCAAAGAGCCATCAGAAATTTAGATGCATAAAAATGCTGAAGGAGAGGTAGTGGGACAGATATGAAGACACAGGTGCCTATGATTTGGTTCTCACTGCCATATGAGACAAATTTTTTTTTTTTTTTTTTAAATTCAGGAGGTAATAGGATGTTCTAGGATCTGGCAGACTCATTCCTGAAGTATTGTTTTAATGTGCAAAAAATTTTCCCTGGAGCAGGAACTGTAACAGACTTGCCCCACCTGCCAGTGATAGGTAGACACCAGGCTACAGAGTGGTTTAAGCTCTCTGGTTTCATTCACTTGCCAACTGAAATTTCATTGTCGCTCAATGGCATGTTAATGATGTGTTTTCTGCTTTTACCCTGTTTTTCTCCTTTTTCTCATTTCCACTGTTTTTCCTTTCTTACCCCCCACCGCCCCTGCCCAGCTGGACCTCACTCCTGTGCACTCTTTGTTCTCCTACCTGGAAGTATTCCACTCTTCCAGCTGTCCCCCACCTTTCCTTTGCCCACCAGAGGCACCTTTCCACATCTTGCCCTCCTTCTTCATGCTCCTGATGCTCTCTCCCCCTGATCTTTCTACAGAAGTTTGCTTTAAATGGTTTTCTTGATTCTCTCCCAATGTCTCAGTCTCCTTCTGTTGCCACATGTTCTTGGAAGCTGTGCTACACAAAATAAAGGTAAGAAAAAATTACTTGTTAGTGTTAGAGAAGAAGATAAGATGCTTAGCTACAGGCAGAGAAGAGGTGGTTTTCTGAGGAGCTCTATAACAGGCTGGAAGAACAGACATGCCCTTCTCAAATACTCCAGCACCTGCTATAGGAACATCATCGGATGTGGCATAATCCATTTTACAGATACAGGATTAAAATAATCATTATTTTAATTTGTGCCATATATATCTCAGGCATAAGTCACATTGACAAGTAGAACAAGATTCTTTATTGTGCATACTTTCTATTGAATAGTGCTTTAAAATAGTAGTAGAATACACGCTTTTCATTTAGAAGATTCTGTGTTTTACAATCCAGCTTCCCAGTTCACTGCTCATCAACTTTTTCAGCCTATTACTTATGTAACTGCAGAACAGTAGGTGTTCTGGAATCTATGGCTGCATCTCATCTGAGAAACAAAAGATGGGCTTTAACTGCAGATAAAGATGCTGCTATTAAATTAAAGATATTAATTTACCAAGAATGGGAGGTATGAATAAAACTATGGTCGTTTCCTTTATTGAATATTGCCCACTACTAGCCTATGAAGACTTCTAGGATGCTTCTGGCCAGTAGGAACCAAAGGAGCTGGATACGGACTGAGAGTTTACACTTGCCCATATCCTAACTATCATCTTGACAGACTTGTCTCTAGACAAAATGACACTGAGCAATCTGCTGTATCAGAGGATGTATCCCCCGGAAGAAGGATCCCAGGAACTACAGGCCTGTCAGTCTGACCTCGGTGCCAGGGAAGGTCATGGAGCAGATCATCTTGAGTGCCATCATGCAGCACATACAGGGCAACCAGGTGATCAGGCCCAGTCAGCATGCGTTTATGAAAGGCAGGTCCTTCTCGACTAACCTGATCTCCTCTATGACAAGGTGACCTGCTTAGTGGATGAGGGAAAGGCTGTGGATGTTGTCTTCCTGGACTTTAGTAGAGCCTTTGACACCATCTTCCACAGCATTTTCCTGGACAAACTGGCTTCTCATGGGTTGGACAGGCATACTCCTCGCTGCGTAAAAAACTGGCTGGATGGCCAGGCCCAAAGAGTTGTGGTTGAATGGAGTTACATCCAGTTGGTGGCTGGTCACAAATGGTGTTCCCCAGGGGTCAGTACTGGGGCCAGTTCTGTTTAATATCTTTATCAGTGATCTGGATGAGGGGATCAAGTGCACCCTCGGTAAGTTTGCAGATGACACCAAGTTGGGCAGGAGTGTTGATCTGCTGGAGGGTAGGAAGGCTCTACAGAGCGATCTGGACAGGCTGGATCAATAGGCTGAGGCCAACTGTTCAACAAGGCCAAGTGCCGGGTCCTGCACTTTGGTCACAAACAACCCCATGCAACGCTACAGGCTTGGGGAAGAGTGGCTGGAAAGCTGCCTGGTGGAAAAAGACCTGGGGATGTTGGTAGACAGCCGGCTGAACATGAGCCAGCAGTGCGTCCAGGTGGCCAAGAAGGCCAAGAGCATCCTGGCTTGTAGCAGGAATAGTGTGGCCAGAAAAAGCAGGGAGGTGATTGTGCCCCTGTACTCGGCACTGGGGAGACTGCCCCTCGAATACTGTGTTCAGTTTTGGGCCCCTCAATACAAGAAAGACATTGAGTTGCTGGAGTGTGTCCAGAGAAGGGCAATGAAGCTGGTGAAGGGTCTGGAGCACAGGTCTTATGAGGAGCCGCTGAGGGAACTGGGGTTGCTTACCCTGGAGAAAAGGAGGCTGAGGGGAGACCTTATTGCTCTCTACAACTACATGAAAGGAGGTTGTAGCGAGGTGAGTGTCAGTCTCTTCTCCGAAGTAACAAGCAATAGGACAAGAAGAAATGGCCTCAAGTTGTGCCAGGGGAGGTTTAGATTGGATATTAGGAAAAATTTCTTCACGGAAAGGGTTGTCAAGCATTGGAACAGGCTGCTCAGGGAAGTGGTAGAGTCCCCATCCCTGGAGGTATTTAAAAGGCATGTAGATGTGGTGCTGAGGGACATGGTTTAGTGGTGGACTTGGCAGTGCTAGGTTAATGGTTGGACTGGATGATCTTAAAGGTCTTTTCCAACCTAAATGATTCTATGATTTGTCATTCAGATTCTAAAAGGCAGCATTGGCATCTAAGCCTGGTCTTGATTTGTATTTCAAAGGTAAAAGACTGACCTTACGGATTTAGTTATCCAGTACATTTATACAGGAACCAGAAAGGTTTTTCTTTAGTATTAAACTTGAATTTCTCACAGACTGGGATTTCAGGCTCACTGTGCTGCTACAGCGAGAAACTGTATGAAGGGCATGCATGTCTGCAAGTCCTGAGGATGGGTACAAAGAGCACAGAATTTTTCTAACTGTGATGTCTGTTTTCCCTTCTCTGAGGAAGAACTGTTCTTTGGCAGGAATTCCCCAAATCTCTGCAGTGCTTCCACTGCTGGATCATCCTTTGAATAGAGAAGAAGAAACTTTTGGATCTTTCACTATCTCCAAGCACTGTCAACTACACATTTTTCCCTCACGAAGTTCTTTTGCCTGCAGAGAAGTTCACTGAAAAGGAGATTTACTTCTCAGAAGAGGAATGAATGCACGACAAACTACCACAGCTTTGGACAAGAGACTTCTACCTGGATCACTTTGTTCTCCTACTGAATCACTGCAGATGTCTCAAGCATTTATGGAAGACGACTGTAATTTCTGCTTCTTTGCCCAAACCAAAACGAAGAATTTTCATGGAAGACAGAAGATTAACATGCCAGTTGTCTTTAGCCACTTGATTTGTAGGTTTATTTTTGTGGAGTGGAAAACAGAGCTTTTTCTGAAGCTTACCCAGGGGAATTCCCTAATTTTTTTGTTTGTTTAGTCTTAAGAGATAAATGCTGTGGTTTTTTTGTCCAAAGTAATTAAAAATAAATATATGTCTTGGTTTTGGCATCATAATCTTCCATAGATATCACTAACCTACCCTAATAAGTTTCATGAAATATAAATACTATATCTCATATTAAAGGAAGAGCTGTTACAGCTGCATTAGCAAAACATAATTTAATTCCAGACAGTAAATGTTCATCTCTGAGGCACTGCTGCAGCTGCAAATCAGAAAACAGAAACTTGTATGGGAACTTACCTGCTTGCTGTAGGTCGGTCCCATTCATCATCACTCAGCCCTGTATCATGAAATGGGTGGTTTCGTGGTTTGCTTGGAGGGGATAAACTAGTCTGTTTAGGACTCCTCCATTCATAGGTATTGAAGTTGTATCCTGAAGCCTGATAGCTGTGTCCTAAAAAGATGAATTACATATTTATGGCACTGTGTATGTTGTAATGACAGAAAAGTACATCTCTGAAGCTGGGTTCTCCGGAACTTGCATGTGGACTCATGATTGCTACCTTTTTTTTGCAGTAGTAGTCATATTATTCATGACCTAAACTATGTCTGGAATTAGGTGTGCTCTAGACCTTCTCCTGTGAAAAGTCCACTGAAAGCAAAATCTTAAATACATCTAATGCTGTTCTCCTACTGTTTATGTCTCAGCAGCTTCTGATGCTTAGTTCTAGACACCTTCACAATTTATCAATTTCCAATTTGACATCATACATTGAATACTAGTGAATAAATCATGTGTATTATGGATGTGTTAAATATGTGTTAATGTGGTCACGTGCAACATGCCCAAAATTAAACCTAAGCTATTGAGAAAACTGTGCTTCAGATGTACTGAAAAAAGAGTTTGCAAGGATGCATTAAAAAAACAGATGACTAGCAAGAAAGTTTCTTCTTCCTCCTGGTAACTTTCTCAAATCTGGAAGCAATGCAGCCACAAATTAGTGACATATTAGTGTCAATTATGCACAATACTACCAATCTGTAGAATGGCTACCTAGATGCAAAAGTTGGCATGGTGCAGAGACTCTTGAGTGACCATTAACCGGAGTAATGCCAGAACAGGAAGGAGGGCGACTGTCTCGGCACTGCTGAGGCAAGGACTCATTAACGCAAGTGCAGGACCATGCTGTCACAGCCCTGCACTGCCCTCCATGAAGGCCAACATGGGAATCTCTGCACCATGCCCCTTTGTGGAACTGCCACTTGCACTTAGCAGAGCTACTGCTTTTTGCTCGGGCTCTGAGAGCTGGGAAAAGGCCCATCTCATGATGGGCACACATGCCTGGGACCGATATAGACCCTTGGAAAGCTCATCTTGCAGAAGGTGATTTCTCTGTCAGCCATTTCCAAATATCTCAAGGCTGTGTAAGTGGCATCAGATAGCCTTTATATCTGAAGAGTTTTTTCTGGGTGCTTTTACCATACAAACAATGTTGGTATTAGTTCAATAGTATTTCTTCAACTGAATTAAGCCTAATTTGAATTCCAAGTAGGAACCAGACAGTCTGGCTTCCAAGTGATGTATCAAGAAGAACACATGGATCGACTTGTCACAAGCTGATGCTGATCTGGTAAGCAAAATTCATTATGGTAGAGCTGCTATATATATATTTCATCTTGGCATATTCCTTTTCTAGCTCTATAGTTGGTGTTTTCTGCTGTGCATATTGGATTAGGAAGTTCTATTTTGTTGATGACTAACAAATATCCCTGCTGTCACCTCTCTAAAGAGGGCAATTTGCTTCCATAAATCAGTCTAGACCTGTCTCCCTCAAATCCCATGTAACTACAGAGTTGTGTGCATTTTCCAGCTAATTGGCAGACATTAACATACTCCCAGATTCTAGGAAGGGTTTTGGTTGTTAAAATGTGACTGCTGCATGGGGAAGGCTCTGGATTAGTAAGGCAGACACATTAGACAAAGGTGCAAAATGAGGTATTAATTCAAGGACAGAAAAGACTGCTCACCAGCATTAAATTAGTAACTAACAGGATAAAACATTATCTGGTGCTCCAGAAACATTCCCCAAACTCCTCAATTTGCTTAGTCTGTGCTTATGCCAAGAAAGGTTTGGAGCGAAGCCAAACTCAACTTGACAGGTCAAGACAGAATGAACTTTAATAGAAATGTGGGTCATATTAGTACCACGGCAAGGGATAAGGCGCAAATCTGATTACACTCAGGCTGTTTAGCAGAAGTGCCATGCATCCAGCCAAGTCTGGGCTGATTTTTTCAAGGGAGTTAGGAAAAAACCTGCTTTGAGATACTGGTTTAGTTTTGGCATAGCATTTGAATGATCAGGACTTAGGAAAGCAGTCTGGGCCTCAATCCGTTCCACAGTTGAACAATTTGCTCCAAATATCATCAATTCACCCAGGAAATGAGAACTATCATTTTGACACTTTTTCAGCAATACTTCTCCTTAGAACTTAAAAATATCAGAAGAAAATCTAACATTATTTATTTTGATAAATTGACCAACACAGTTAAAAACAGACAAGGGGACAAATTCATCCCAACTCTAACTCCAGTGAAATACAAATTATACAGGGGGGGGTTTAGCCCAGTACATTGAGTACTAAATAAAATGTTAACAGTAAATTAAAAGTTAAATTTAGAAAACAGGAGTTGTAATTATATGTATTGAGACTGTCTTGTTTAAAGTCAGTTGATGCCAAATACATGCAGTAAGGCTAAGAAATACTTAAAAATTTAAAGAACAGAAAAAAATGGCCACTAGTAGCGATATCAGCTATTTTTTGATCTCAAGTAGCTCAGCAGGTTTCAAAGGAAATGTTCTGCTTTCCAGAAGAAACTGCCAGTGCTATGAAAGTAATCAGCACAGAACTTCAGTCTATATGGGAAATCTGCTGGGCAGAGCTCGGTTTCAGTTCCCTGTGTGAGGGTACAAAACAGCTGTCCATGAGCTCCTGGAAAGCAATAGAAAGAAACAGAGAAAGAAAACTGAAAGAATGTGTGCAACCAGAGCGAGGGAGAAAAAATTATTTGAAGTAAGGATCTGCCTGTCCAAATACCTGCCAGGTAGAGGGAATACCTTGCTTTAGTATGGAAGTAAACATTCTGAAGATTTTAAAATAAAACACTGAAGCTGTGTGGAAGTTATTTTTCTTGTTATCTAGAATACTACAAGATGTCTGTATCCCTCACTGCCTAAATAAATGTGTCTTACAAGTTAAAATGAGATTATTTGAAAATCCTATATAAAACAATAGTCAATCAGAAGTAGAAAATTTAGTGCTAAGGAAAATCATGTCTTTGAATAGAATGATTGTTTTTGAGGGCTGAAAGTTAGATGTTAATGCTGCAGGAATGAGGAAGAAGCAGAAGATTTACAAATCATAAGCAATGCCTAATGTTCTCCCTTCAGCAGTTTGTAATAAATCTGTTGTCAGTTAAAAATTACTGCATATGGGCATCAAATTAATGAACATCTTCAGTGTGTTCTGTGCCTTGCATTGATCTGTGTTTGAAGGATAAACTCATTTAGTTGTGGATGAGCTATGGACCGGGCTATTCAGATGTCAGTAAAGCTAACAAAAACCTGTTAATGTATTGATAAATGCTTCATAACACATCACATTGTCATGAAAGAATGAATCTGAGCCCAGCCAAGTGTAAGAAATCATGCTGTCTGCGCGGTGTGCGGTCATAATGAGACGCCGGCATATTACAAAGTACAAGGTTTGAAGTTGGTACAGATAAAGTTCTCTTTAAGGCAAAGGAAGGTCAACCATGAAAGCAATAATTTCTACTTCAAATGTCAATGCACTCTTGATAGTACCTTGATTTCCAAAGCTGGTATCAATACCAGAGCCATCCCATGACTCTACTGCGCTGTCAACACTTGGGACTGTAGTGGAATAGATGTCTGAGAGTTTGCCAGATTTCTGTGCAGCAGAGGATTCATCTTCAGCATCGCTCAGTTCAGTTATGTGACCCACAGGGACAGAAAATTTCTTGGGACTGGTAGCTGAATAGGATTATAAAAAAATAAAAGGGGGTGGTGGTGGTCATTGCTTTACTGCAGTTCTAAGAATATGCTTTTTACTACTGACAGGACATTTTCCAAGGATGGCCTAAATGCTTGTTAATCTGTAACAACACATGCATTAAAGACCACTGATGCTACCCTTGGCCATACTCACCATCTGTCTGCTTCTTGATTTTCAAGGTGACAGTTTCTCCTGCCATCTGTAATAAATGAATGGCTTCACTCAAAGGTTTTCCTTTCAGACTGCTACTATTTATTGCTAGGATTCTGTCTCCTATGTGAATTGCCCCAGTCCTACAATAAGAGAGAGAAGTAAAACACTGAGGAGCATAAAAAGCAACAAAAGCAATTTGTTTGCATATTTAGAGCACGAAAGTCTCGACTCCTTTTCTTTCTTTCATTTTGCTTTCATAGCTGTGTTACAGAGTAATTATTTTGTTAGAAATGCTTAAAGCAAGTCACCTTTGTTGTAGTGACAATAGCAGAGCTGAGGCATGGAGATGTGGATTTCTATGTTACTGCGGTAGTTGAGTTAATCACCTATGGATGATATTCATTGCAGCCCACCTGTTTAAGAGCAATCTCAGACAGCTCGCTAAGTTCTGAAATGAGCCAAGTTTCTCTAAGTCTCACAACATAACAGATAATGGCAGCGTGAGCAAGTAACCAGCTATTTCACCAGTGTGGCTTTCAGGATCGATCATATCAAAAGAAGAAAATAAATGCTCTTTGTGTAAATGCATGGTTTATTCTGGCTGTGCACAGTATCATGTTTTGTGTGCTGTAAGTTCTCTCTGAAACCGCCACCAAAGGTACCAGTTGCAATGACTCTACCTATCTTAGAAATAATAGGTGATAGAAAACCTTAGCATTTTCATTATTCTCTATCCATCACTCACCATGAGGAGTATTTCTGCTCCTCGGATGACGTTTGCTATGGTGTATGTAAGTGCACACACAGATGCAGTGTGTGCATACAATAAGTGGCAGATAAGTGTACGGTAAGTTCCGAGAAACTGAGACACATTAAGTGCTTCCTTTGCCTATTGTGCTATACAAGGCTATTGCTTTTAAAAGGCTGCTAAAATGTTCCTGTAACTGAGCAGTTTGATTGACTAGTCTTTCCTAGGTGATTTATAATAAGGACTGCAATCCTCTGCTCTGTGTTGTATAGTATGTACAAGAACATCCTGTTAAGATATTGCTCATGCTCCTGAACTTGGCAATGATCAAAAAACAACAGCAAAAAGATTATAAACTCAGATTTGAACAATTATTCAAAAATAAATTGTTAAACCATGAAAATTAGCATGTTCAGATAAACAAAATAAATCTTCATTTTGACAAAAAAGAATGCTTAAAAATAATTTGCTTTCCAATTTACCTTTCAGCTAATCCTCCTTTTGTAAGGCTGGAAATGATTATGGGATCAAAGGGCTCTTCAGTACCAGAGATTGTAATTCCAAGAGGCCCACCATAGCGCTTGAGCTCAACGGTATAAATAATTGCTCCAGAGCTCTCTTGTTCATCTGCAAGAAATGCCAAGGGGATGCAATTGGTTTCTTTTTGAGAATGAGGGAATGAAAAAAATAGCACATTCAGTCTAGTGACTGGTAATCAAACAACATTTTCAAAGGATTACATTTCAGATAGATTTCTTAATCATATTCTACTAGATTATTTGGAAAAAACCCATTCACTCTTGTGCAATTTCTTTTTTATTGCCAAAACCTGATTACATTGAAGTCAATAGACCCCCCCCCTCATTCTATTAGGACTAAATTTTACTCTGTTTAAAATCCTTGTATCTTCTTTCCTATTAAAATATAACTTCAGGCTATTTTGTTACAGAATCACAGAATGGTTGAGGTTGGAAGGGACCTCTGAAGGTCACCTGGCCCAACCCCCCTGCCCAAGCAGGGCCACCAGGATCAGGTTTCCCAGGACAGTGTCCAGATGGCTTTTGAATATCTCCAAGGATGGAGGCTCCACAGCAGCTCAGGGCAACCTGTGCCAGTGCTCGGTCACTCTCACAGTACAGAAGTGTTTCCTCATGTTCAGGAAGAATCTCCTGTGTTTCAGTTTGTGTCCATTGCCTCTCGTCTTGTCACTGGGCACGACTGAAGAGAGCCTGGCTCCATCTGCTTTACATCCTCCCTTCAGATATTTATATACATTGATAAGATCCCCCCCCGAGCCTTCTCTTCTCCAGGCTGAATGGTCCCAGCTCTCTCAGCCGTTCCTCACAGGAGAGATGCTCTAGCCCCTTCATCATCTTTGTGGCCTTTGCTGGACCTGATCCACTATGTCCACATCTCTCTTGCACTGGGGAGCCCAGGACTGGACCCAGCACTCCAGGTGTGTCTCACCAGTGCTGAGCAGAGGGGAAGGATCCCCTCCCTTGACCTGCTGGCACTCTGCCTGATGCAGCCCAGGAGGCTGTTGGCTGCCTCTGCCACAAGGGCACATTGTTAGAGAAAAGACAAGTTACTATTATTGTATAAAAACTGGTACTCATCTGTTTCTTGAACTGAATGGAAGGTATTTAGAACAAAAGGTAATTCAAAAGTTTTAAAACCAAACTTCCTTAAAAGAATTGTGAGAAAAGTCAAAAGTCATGATAAGATGAGCAGCTGTCTTACTAAGAGAACCTGAAATACGTCCCATGTTTTTGATGGACAAGTTTAAAGCTTTTGTAACAGAATCAAAAATAGCTTCTGAATTTTGAATTATCAATGAAGTTGAAAAATAACTCCAATAGATTTGATTTCATGATATTGCATGAAGTCATTTGCATTATTTTATAATTTTAGTCTCACCAAACAATCATCAGAAATGGAGACGAATTCATCACTCAGTAAGCTAAAATACAATGTATTTTCTTTAAACAATACCCAACAGGTGTTGCAGCAACAAGAAAGGCTCCCGTATTTATACAGTGCATGCTTTTTACATACTATCAAAAAAAAAAAAAATACCACAGCAGGAGAGCAATCAACTGTAGTATCTTTGAGTTGTGAAGGGATATTTTAAAATCTAAAATATCAGATTTCTCCTCAGATCAAAATAACAAATGCTCCCTTGCCCATCTTATGATATTGGTATTCAGCCAGGACGCCTGGCCTGGCGGGCAACTTTTCCTAGATCTGTGTAATGACATTTTGAACGGTTCACCGAGTATGGAAAATGTCTAGGATGCACATTCCGTAAATGTTACTAGAACTAACCTGAGACAAGTTAGAAAATTCAAATCTTCCAATTTCTGTTCCTATAGATAGAAAAACTTTAAAAGGAAAAAAAGATACCTGCAGCGCTAGCAAAGGTTCAAAGAGTTGCTTTCTGTTAATGCTGAACATGGTACTTCAGCAGAGCTGGAGAAACACTAATATCTTTGGAGCTACTTTGTTTCTTCCCAATTTGCAGAAAATGTAGCCCTTTAGCTTCCCCCCACCCCAACTCTCTCCTATTTTGCCCTTGCTATCCACATAAAAGAAAATGGTACGCATATGGAATCAAAGGAGAGAAGAATTAGTGGTGTTTATTCAGCAAAGAATACTACTGGGATTTTCATGCCTAGCGTTGGCCTTGTATTGCTACTCAGGGCATTATCATCAGTGTTTTGGCTCAGTTACATCAACTACGCTTTATCTGACATGCTCTTTCCAGAAGCACCCAAATCCCAAGACCCCACTGGAAGCCTCTGGCTGGCGTACAGTGGGCTAGCACGTAAGCTGCCACTGCACAGCAGAAGAGTGGCAGCTCTTGTTTGCTTGCTATAGCATTCATGGAACAACAGCAAATCCTCTGGGATCTAATGCTGGTGACATTTACTCAGGTGTGGCACTGACACCATACAAGACTTCAACTGAAGGATGAAAAATAATCCACCAAGCTAATTGAAAATGTAATAGCCAGTAATTTGCTAAGGGTCGACACAATACTGATGTTTCACTGCCACCAACAGCAAGTGAATAAGAAGTTATTAATCATACAGCAGCCCTGCCACATCAGAGTTGGAAGTCTATAAATCTTAGTGAATGACTGGAAAGGAGACTGGTCCATTATGTCTGTTTTCTGGTTAGCCCTCGTTAAGAAAATTGTCAGAATGCAACAAACGTCAAATTGCTACACTGTTCTCTGCAGCGCTCTTTCCAGGCAGCAGAAATGCAAGCTATCCAAGAACCTGGCATGCATGTGGCCTGAATTCACAATGAAGGCTGGTTTTGCCACAAAAGCAAAGCACTCTGATATTCAAAAAAGGGTGGTAACCAGTAGGTTAATCAGGAGATAGAATTGTCCCCAGGCTGGGAAACTGGCAGGAAAAAAAGAAAAGAGAAAAACTGCTGAAAACATACTTGCACCTGGGGAAGAAATATAATCAAACTACCAAGTTTTTGGGTCTCATGTTTTTGAGATTTTCCTTCTTTCTTTTCTTGTGATGCAACTGTGGACAGTTCTTGGAAACCACATTTAATGAAAGTAGACCCTCTGCTGCAGTGCTCCTGCTCTGTGCCCCAGTCTCTTGCTCTTCAGAGTAACATCTGATCCATACAGACAAAAGGGCAAAGAAGAGCACGGTCTGGGAGGGCACGACACCGTACTACCCTGCTGCTGGCCTCACCTGCACAGTTGGATCTGAGGAACATACAACTCTCTGGAGAACGGAGAGTTGGAAAGACAGCAGAGGAAGGAAAGACAGAAGGCAGAAAGAAGAGCTAGAAGCCAGAAATACTTAAAAATGAATATAAAGAGTTTGAAAGACGGCGAGGAAATGAAAACCGAGGCGGGAAGAACCCCTGCTGCCTGCCTTCCCCTCCTCAAAAAAGCATGCCATGAGAAACTGAAAAAAGTTTAAATCTTAATCTCATTCTGTGATTTAGAAATTGTTTTGGAGTGCTCCACGCCTACTCATCTATTAGCATCAGGCTTTGCTTTTCTTGGGGGATTTATTAATGATCTTTTCCTGTTGTGTTTGAGAAGCACATTTCTTCTCTTTATGAGAAAACAGACTTTCATAAATAAACTAATGGCAAATAAACAAAAATTTATTTTAATTGACGTATGCCTTTTGGTACACCTTTGTGACTGTTTTGCTGCTGTTTTTGAAAATATTTTTTCTTTAGCATCTCAGGAGACACTCATACATTTTAGATTTCAAAGTACCTGAAATCTGCTATTAATACTTCAACTACACTTTTACACTTAAGCAACTGTTACAAGAACCATTTGTATAGCGAATTTTGTTCAGTAGGTCTCTGAGTAGCTGTCCATTTACATTTGAATCTGTTCGGTTACACCAATCATGTCTGGATAAGACACTGGAGTTGTGTGAGAATCTTGATATAGATACATGATGTAACTGTAAAATAAGCAATGTGAAGGTGTAAAAGAAAACTGTGGAATAAGAACCCCATGCAGACCAAAATCTGTACCAGCTGCCATGCTGTGGAATACCTAAGAGAGCAAAGATTTTCATTTCAGTGACAGCAACAGAAAATGTGTACCAACTTCAACGGAAATGGAAGCTGTCCTAGAAAAAGATTAAGTCCACAAGGTGAGAGGGATTGCGGGGATGACATGAACCACACAGGACAAACCCACAGTGTTTAAAAGTCTGGGAAAAGTTATTACTATTTCTACATGGCTCTACCTCATGCCTCTCTTCTATGGTCTGTTGGCAATTTCTCTGCAGGGTTATTAATGAGAGGGAGTCTTCCAAACGAGGGGAAGAAGGTGAAGGAGGGATCCTAGGTGCCATGAATGCTTAGAAGACAGACCCCCTCTTGTGCAGGAGAAAACTCAAACTTCCTTCTACGTGGATTTTTCCTGTTGATCTTCTGCCAAGTGTAGCTGCAGTTTGCTCTTCATAACACATGTTGTTTGCTCAGTTTCGCAAAGCAACTGTCAGTCAGGTGTCCCTTTGGATGTACAGCCCATGGCCAGTTTGGCCAGCATCTGTCCAGATGGACCAACTATGTGTACCAAATCCCACCTCACCGCCTGCAGGGACCTAACCACAGTGTCCTGCTGAGCCAGTGGCCTTTCACTTTGCTGGATCAACATTTACTTCTGAAAGCCAATTTGCACAAGGTGCTAAATGCATCTGCCTTTGTTTTGTACTGATCATACTGAGAAGGTATTTTCTTTTTGCTTTGAAAACCAATTAAAGGAAAAGAGTGTTCTAGTGCAATTCTAAACACCATTTCAACAGTTGCACTTGATTTTAAATAATAGAGTGTGGCAGGCCGTGCCTTTTTGCCATGAGATTGCATAGAGCTTAAGACAAGTGAATCTACAGTTCATGATTTTGTGTAACGCCATAATATAAATCCCAGCAGTAATGGTAGTTATAATTGCCTAACTTCCTTTGCCACTAGAATGCATAACAGAACTCGCTTTATTATCTCCAGGTAGAAATTCTGCTCTTGCAGAATCCATAATGGGGAAGATTCAGGAATATGAATAGATGTAGGTGTGCAAAATGATGGCAGCTCTATTACTTCCACTGGGCTGATCAGACATGGCTCCTCCATCAGCCATCCAGCACAGTGTGTAGAGTACTGCTTACACTTAAGCATGCGAACAGTTATACTGAAGTCAAGCTTGTAAGTTTATGGATAAAGCATGCACTTCACCACTCTGCCAGAGAAGTGAGGCCTATGGATCCATGCTTTGCTAACCATGATTCCAATCTTAAAAGCAGAGAAAATCTCAATATGCTGACAAGAGAAAGATCAACCCTCAGGCTGTACCTGAGGGGAAATTGCCTTTCCAGAAAACCGAAGACCTCAATTTGCAGTGGAGCTCCTGCAGGCAATATAGCCACTGAGAAAATTCAAAACTTTATATACCATTAAAATTCTTTTTAGTGTGACACTTTCTGATTAGTATTAGCATAAATCAGTCATGTTTAGAAAAAAACATTTCACTAAAATTTAAATGCAAAAGAATAATGCTAGGTTCTAAAAATGCTGAAAATACACAAGAATCTGCAATAGGCTCATTGCTAATACCGGAATTATCTTCATCTTTGCGGATCTTTAGCTTTACAAGGTCCTCACAGTGCTGAAGGATCTGAACAGCATCTTCCATTGAGCAATTGTCAAGTCGAATGTTATCTATTGCAAGCAACTTATCACCCAGTTCGAGTGTCCCAGTTCTGTGAACAAGTAAACAAGCTTACGTGAAATTCTGGTAACATTAAAGCCAGGTATCTTAGAAGATATGAACACTATTACAGAAATGAGATGGATTTTTTTAAAACAACTATTTCTTAATATGATGGACATTTCATTTGTAACTGCTGTTTACAAAATAAAAGCACAAGTCTCTTACAAGCTCCCTCTGTTTAACTTGAGTCTGGCTGGCTACACAGTGGAAACAGATTTTTAGTGGAAGCTTGAATGTCTTACCTGTGAGCCACACTCCCTTTCTTGATATCAGAAATAACCAGAGGGTCCCCTGGTTTTCTACTGGATGGAGCTGTAATAAAGAACACATACAAGTATCTGTTTTTTATTTCTAGAGATGCAGATGGGCTAGTTGTGTCCACAAATCAATATTTCATAGACATTATTTAGCTGTATTATATTTTTCTCCTTTCCCTAAATAAATACATACATGAATACAAACAAACAGCAGCAGCTTATTAGTAAGACTGCATACTTTACTTGTCAAAAATTAGAATATGCCAGAGTAAAGATGACTGGTGCAAAGCAAATTTAACGTGGTATGTCTGAATTCTGGATTAGGCCAGGACTGAACCATGCGAAGGTATCATGGTACAGCTCCAGTGATCTATCATAACATGCTGTGTAGCTACAAGACATAAGGAAGACTTTCTGTTAGTAGAAACTTTCAGCACAACTACTAATGCTGATCTTCTGCAAGAATATTTTTGTCAGTTATAAATCATGTTATATCCCTGACCAACAGAGCTGCTCTGGCAAAATGTCTAGAGTGGGCTAGCACACTTTCTTTACATCCACTCCTGTCTCATTCAGTGCTTAAGGCAGAGGTATGAAGATAATGCTTCCTCGGTGAGAAGGAGGAATGAAATGCTGTGGATAGTGGCCATGCACACCCTTGGGCTGATACACAGTTATCACATCTGCACAGAAATAGCTTACATCACATGGATGCTTGCTTCACTGCTGCTTCCTCTGAAGTAAACATGTGCCTCTTTTGATGAGTAACCTTGCTCCTCTGTACTGCTGCTGGGCCTTAAGCGTTGTGGACTTTCACCCACTTTGTACTGAGGATACCTACTAGAAGCTCTGCAATTCCAGCAGTGGTCAAATTAGAAAAACCCTCACCAGTCCTCTCCTTGCACACCTAATTCATCTCTTCTTGGAGGTATCTTGCATAACTTTTAATTTTCTATCTGTCCATCATGGTTAAAAGGATGTTCTGCTCTACAATGCCAGTCATTGCAATTCTTTACTGACTTGTGCAAAGGTATTTGACAAGTTTCCTTTGGCCAGGAAATTGCTTAGCAATTTTGCCTGACTTTTGGTTGCACAGGAAGCAGTTAACTACCCCAGAGGAAGAAGACAATTACTGACTGCTTCCAGAGGACTGTTTCTTGGAGCAGCTTCACTGAATGCATTGTTTTGGAGGGTTCATCCATTTGCTGACAGAAGACTGCACTGAAGATCTGATATGGTAAGCAGCAGGCTCAGAACTTGAGGGTGACGAAAGGTACGTTTTTAGACAACGGTGTGGCACCTGCTCTCTGCCGTCAGGAAGTATACCACCTACAGCTGCTCTGGCCAGGAGACAGTCCATGTGGTGAACGCAGACGTACTTTTGGGACCGTTGTTAACAAAGAGTGTGCTAATATCAAAACATTGCCATGTGGTATAAGGCTCTCAGTTCTCCTGAAAGCGCTAATGTTTTTTGCACATGTAGGGCTCTTCAACTGCCTCACGCCATTTCTACTCTGTGTACTGAGGCCTCCGCCTTCATTCACAGAAGGTACTTTTCCATTAGGCTCCAATGCCTAACTGGCAATCACTCAAAAAGCTACCCATATTGGAGGATCACCGACAAAATCCTGATGTCAGTTACTTTAGCAGCTCATGATTTTCTCTTTGATGGAAAATGACAGATCTTCGCCTACAGCAACCACAAGGTGTATTAATAATGACATTTCCAACACAATATTCTAACAGATCTTGTTAACCTTGGCTGCCCTGGCCGAGAAAGCCTTTGAATGTCCAAAGGAACTGTTTAAGAACTGCTAAATAGCCATATTTCAAATGCAGTGTCTTGAAAGCCCAGAAGACAGATGTACAAGGACTTTCAAGAATTTTTAGAAACTTGTCTAAAACAGCACGCTTTCAGAAAATGCCTATGTTGCAATTTAGAGAACAGCAATTAACTTTTTGCAAGATGTGTAATTTTCATAGCTTGTTTCTCATACTTTCATGCCATGGGTCAACTGTATCTTACATGACAGGTCCATGATTTACTTGAATTCTTTGGGTTTGTTCCACCAATTAGTATCTTGTTAAAACTTTAAAGTATCACTTCGGCGAACTTTTTTTTTTAATTCTACGTTTTTACTCCCTGGGTTGCCTTATAAATCTCTGAGGTTATATGCCACCCACTGTACAATGTCTGCAGTTTGCGATTTGAGTATTGAGATAGTTTTTATGAAACTGCTTTATAAAAATTATCAGTACTAAAGAAAACAGTCCATTATTGTTTCAAAAAGAAGAGAGAAGGAACCAAAATGGGGGAAAGACCACAGCTCAAAGTGCGAAGCCACAGAGTACATGTGGATGCAAAGGATATGATATTGCACACAAAGTTATTACAGTTTCAAACTGAGTAAGTGTGAACCAGCGGTATGTTGTCAGTTATCCCAGGCCATTAATTGTGTCTGGTGGGTGAAAGCATTTTTGTAGGCAGCAAACACAGCTCGGTGTGAAATGAATCTCCCCATGCAGACAAGTCCTTAATAAGCAGCTAACCACACTTTGTTTTATTCTTGTTCAATGCTCACGACAGACATAATACAAACTATTCAAGTTGTGTTGCAAAGATAAAATCATTAATTTCCTCCTGGACTTTTGTACTGCACACCACCACAGCCTAAGATTGTCTCCCAAACACTAGCAAACAGATGCTGTCCCCAGCAAGAAGATTGAATACTATTATCGTGATTTTACAGATGAGAAAAGGAAACAGAACATTTAGGTCAAAGTATGACAATTTTCGGTGAGCAATTTGAGATAGCCATGCCTTTATTTCTCACAATAGTTTGTAGTATATAACAGCTTCTATGTCCAAAGCACAACTACTGGCATTTTCAGCAACAGCTGCAGATGCTCAGCATTTCTGCAAGTGTGACCCCAGGATCTCAACAGTTTCCACAGAAAATCAAGCAGCTACCTCTGGAAAATCTATCTCACCCCCCACCCCATGAAATGAGTTGTCTCAGTACAACTGTATTGCAGAGAAAAGGAAAAAACCCCTAATTTCTCCAGGGTATTAAACCATCTTGACCATGAGATCACCTCCTTTTTCTTTCTGCAGTCCTCCACCTCATTCATTATGCAGCCTCTATCCCCTTTGATACACACCACTATTTCACCTCTCCCCAGAGAGCAGAGAAGCAAGAGTCCCAGTGAGAAAGCAGTATTTGACCACTTAATTAAAAAAGATATCCTCATGAATTAACACAAATTTGAAGTGACACTGTACAGCCTTAAGTCTCCATTTTTATGTTTCATTTCAGAATTATTTTTGTTTTTAAGAAGCAATTAAACCAAAGCACCTTACCACTCACCCATGTCCAGCCTCCTTGTTCAAGTCCCAGCTTTCCCTCCCCCTATCACACCTCAGCCTCTCCCACATCTGCTGTCTCCCTGTTACGGCTCTCCACTCATTTTCTCTCCTTGTACCCATTCTGCTTGTCCACCGAAGATCTCATCTTTTCTCCTCCCTGGTCCAGCCGTTAGTCTACCTACTGTTGAGCTTTTATAGAGACCTTACACAGTCTGTATGATGAACTACAAGTGGACTGAAGAATGCATAAAGTTGTACAGATACTAACTTTAGTATTGCAGCTGGAAGGCTGATCTTTAGCAAGTTGTTCTCTCTCTCTTTAAATTACTGTATGATCCTAGGTCTCCGTCCCAGGCCTCTACCCTACTTCTACTCATAAAGACACACTTCCCCTGCAGAGACCTTACACAGTCTGTATGATGAACTACAAGTGGACTGAAGAATGCATAAAGTTGTACAGATACTAACTTTAGTATTGCAGCTGGAAGGCTGATCTTTAGCAAGTTGTTCTCTCTCTCTTTAAATTACTGTATGATCCTAGGTCTCCGTCCCAGGCCTCTACCCTACTTCTACTCATAAAGACACACTTCCCCTGCCTATTCCCTGCCATTTGAAAGCAAGTTCAGTGAAGTGTTGTCAGTTTTGTAGATCAGCTGTTCCACTTGGTAAAAAAAAAAAACCCTCAAAAAACCCTCCTCTCTTATTTCACTGCTAACCCAAAGAAAAGAAACAATGTAACTTAAACAGATTTTGGGGTGGACATCTCACCTACCACCCAGCCAAAACTCACTCACTAGTCTCAGCCTGGCTGCAGGTTTTAGAGTTTCATCGAACTCTGAACAAACTGAACAAGCAGAGGAAAATGCTCATGGGATGGAAAAATATTTTTTATACAAAGTCAGTCCACTTATCCACAATGCTGGCTAACAGCTACTAGACGTTTTTAAAATAGTATGATTATTAAATACATGAAAGAGCTTTTTAAAATCAGACTGATGTAGCTCTTTTGTTCCATAAGTATTGGTTCATGTAGAGCAGCTGAGAAACCTGCTGATTCTTCAGGCCCTGTCTTGAAAATATTTACTTGTAAGATTGCAAAATTAAGTTGAATTGCTAGGTGAAATCCCAAAATATACAGAAACATGCTTTAGAAAGGAAATTCTCATAGTCAATGCTAAATATCTGTAGATACTTACAAAGCTTGTTTCTGATGAAGTACAAAAGCAATAAAGCAGACTATAGTATAGCTGCCAGCCAAAATGACTTAGAAAAACTGATGATAGTTTGGGTGAGATTCTGATATTCTTACCAGCTTTGCAGCTTGTTATTCCTTGAGTAGTCCCTTTAGCTTCAGAGAGATTATTTATGAAGCAAGGTGCTGCAGTTCATTACCAGTAAGGATATCAGACTCTTACTTAAGAAGGAAAGAAAAGGAAAAAAAAAAGAGCTGTTAACTACAATTACCAGACTGTACTATTAAGTCATTTTCTTGGACATCGTTCAATGTATTTAAAAAAGATTAGTCTATGATAAAGTAGCCAGTGGCACAAAATTTTATCTTAAAAAAAAAAAAAATCTATATTTCATTACATGGTCTAAAATCAATGTAACTGGCAAATAATTTAATCACTACTAGATCTACTTGAAAGCCATCCTTCTTCTAGGGAATGGTTCTGTTATAAAAACATAATCACACACAAATAGACACTGCTGTGTCATGCTTTATTTGGATGATGTAATTTTAAGAACTGAGACAAGAATGCTCCAACCAGCTAACTGGGTATGAAAATGATGGTACCTGAAGCATGAAATATATAGTCACTTATATTTGCAAACTATGAAATAATGTCTTTATTGAGTGCAAGTAGCTATTAATGGGAAGATTAGACAGATACTGCAGAGATTAGGGAAGGATGATAGGATGATAAAGTCCAGTATGCGTGTGAAGGCAGCAATGGGCAAGGCCGGTATACTGCGAGGTAACCAACATGCACTATCCAAAACTCAGTGCCCTCGATTAACAATAATGCTCATAAAACTTTCTTCTGTCTTATTTTCTAGGGGTTCCTGCTATCTAAATGGATTTTGAATTTTTTTGTTTTGCTTTTTTTCTTGCATTAATAAATTTGAAACTAAGAGAAGCTTAGTCTCTTCCCCTATTACACGTCATGTTTTTCAAAGACCATGAATTAATTAGCTTAACTGTTTTTAGCATTGTGTACCACCTCAGATATGCCTTCAAGTACCTGGCTGTAACTCCATGCAGGCACACTTGGTGTTTATTACCAAGGAAAACAACACAAAAGAAAGAGAAATAAATTCCTCTTCCAAGACGTCTGCCTCCTAACTGCTGACTTAGAAGAACTCTTGGACTTAAAAATAGGCATATGTTCAGGTGCCCAGCCAAGGTGAGGCTTACATTACCCTTCTGACAAAAAACGTCTGTCTTGTCTGTCAGTCAGGTCATTTCCTGACTTTCTCATCGGAATCCCAAACTGAACTGGGGATATGGAAAGGAAGACAGGTGTTTCTCTGTAGTGTTTTTATACAGACCGCACTTTCTTACCGACCATTAACTCCACTATCTTGAGAAGAGAGAGGATGAAACAGGTCTCTAGCACTTAAACAGATCAAGCCCCAAAGTGAATAAACCTGATCTCCTCTATCACCCCTGTTTACACCTGGTTATATCAACTCAGCCGAGTTTCCCTTAGTATTCGTTTTTTAAAAGAAATCATATAGCTTTCTGACAACATCAGTAATAAATGGCATGCTAATGTGCTAAAGTGCTCTGACAAAAATTTGACAAAACGAATATAAACCGCTTACGTTCTTCAAATCACACTGCCTCATTTAGGAGTTAGGTAGAACAGAGCAAAGCACTGAAAAGCAAGCATGAAATGCAGCAATTCAAGACTTCTACCAAACAATTTTATAAACTTTCAGTTATTAGTAGAAAACCTTTTAAAATCAAATAAATAATTAATCCTAGACACATTCCATATGCATTAAATACTATTAATAAGTGGAATTATTATATATAACAGATCATTTAATTTAAATATTAAAGATACTGCAGTATACTGAGAGAAGCAGAGCTAAGACCAACCAGGTGTCACTCTGATTATATAAAGCACTGATTTTATAAATCACTAACTTTTGGAATTAAGTTCCAAGTCAGCAAGGTATGGGAAGTTTGGAAGAGTACTAAATGCTAAATCCCACGAACAGTAGCTTTCCATTCAAAGTTTACTCCTACAGACAGTAAAAAAGTACAAGATGTCTGAAATCCAAAAAGCAGCACAAATCAAATTACTAGGAGGACCGTATTTTTACAATAATCCTACAAACCATTACCAATCCTAAGAATAACATTTAAATAGAACAGCCTCTCTCCAGGTTTTCCCATTTCTCAGTATTTTCATTTGCACAAATACACGTAGACTATGATTTTGCTTCAAGCACCACATCACAGCTTGCAGAGTCTAACAATTACTCATTCAAGTGTGCAATGCAAGCAAACACGCCTGCAGTGTCTCTCATTTGTTCCTCAGATGTAATTCTTAGCACTGAGTTCCTTGCTGTACTTTTTAGTAACCTTATTCCATTGTGCTGGTAAAAGCTTTGAGAATATAAGTCAAAGCACAATCTTCCCCCAGGATATATGAATAATTCCAAAGAAAGACTAATAGTCTAAAAAAGGCCGCAATCGTAAAGGATTGTTAATTCTGGTGAGATCAGATTCTGCACTGTCATTAAGTACATTAAACACAAGGCCATTAACTTTGATATGGATTGTTCTTCCTTCTATCAAGGGCTGAACGCGGTATGCTGGAGTTTACCTGGTAAAAATCCAGCCCTAACAGTGTTTACTGTCTGCTCCCAAAATAAGTAAGTATAGAAACACTTTGATTTCAAACAACAGTAACAAATCCTTTTTGAGAACTAGACTAATGCACACCCTTGTTATCTTCTTGAGAACTAGACTAATGCACACCCTTGTTATCTTCTTTAGTAATCTCTGAAATCCCTAGTGAAAAGGGATTTTGCTATGTGACCTGCACGTTTAGGACTGCTCACTAGTTTTACAGATTGAGGATGTATCTTCAGACTCTGGGTTCTGAAGCAGAAAATAACCCCAATGTACGTGGATCCTCATGCCTGTGAGAACCCTTGAGTTCAGTGGGGTTCTCCTCAAGACCCTGTGAGAGACCATGACAGACTTTGCTTTAAACTTCCCAGCTATGGAAATACTTTTGCATGGGCCTAATTCTATTTAATTATTTTTTCTTTTTTTTAAAAATCATTTTAATGGGAGTTAAATACGTGCTATGCATGAAGGAATAGGTCAAGCTTTAGGCCTGGCAAACCTCTGGCTTCTTGAACTACTAGAAGGGCAGTATAAATTTGTTATAGAATGGTATTTCATCAGAGAGCACTGCTAATCATCCCTTTCTAGAAAAAGGAAAAAGAAGTTTATGCCAAAACAAACATGAGTCTATAGCTACAGGACCTACTATCTGCAGGTTATCCCATAAACGTGGTCTTAAAAATAAGCACTTTCACTTACAGCTTATGGTGATGCCAAGTTCCACATTATGCTTCTTTGGTAGTTTTACATGAAATGTTCCACTGCTTGGTATAACTGATTCTATAAAAAAATATTTCAAATATTAGATAATTTATAAGGCACAGCAATTCCAAGTGCATGGAACTATATGTGTAAATTGATGAAATCACATCAGCATCACAAGCCACAGATGAAACACAGGTGCTAAAGTGAAGGAAGTAGGACATACCAAGTATGATTTATACCTCTATTGGTAATTTCACGGTAACTCAATTTTTTTTTTTTAGGTTTAACTGAATTTATGGAGATTGCGTGGGCCAGCAGCCAGCTGAGACTGCAGGTTTTTAGCTCGTATGCAAGTTCTGTGAGCACAGGTGAAAATTTTAGTGCTGGCAGATAACTTTTAATTAAAAGGACAGGAGATCAAGTCTTAAGGATTTCAGGCCTTTGTTGCTGCAGGTCTAACACATTTTTAACTGTCCGCTAAAGTAACTGCCATGGATTTTACACCTACTGGGAAGAAAAGGAATCAAAACATCACTAATGGAGAAGCGCCTGGAGCTCACTGAGGCAAAAACCACTTCAACACACAGCACTGTATTTGAATCCTGACTTTTGGCATCACTGCTAGCAAAGGTTCAGGCCCTGGCCTGAAAAGGAGCAATTGAAATTACAGCTATGGAAACATCTAAACATACATGTGACAGAGAAGTCTAATCATGAGTACGAGTCTGCTGTCATGGAGCAAATGGGAGGAGCATAAACAAGTCCAGGGACTGAAATACACATGGTGCATTTAAACGACTTTCTCAGTATTTGGTTTTCTTATTTTTTAACATTTCATTTCCTATGTATATGAATGTACATATTGTATTTGGCTTTTTTTTAAACATTTTACTAGATGCATGCATACTAAAAGATTATACAAAATTACTCTAGGAACCTTTAGCCTGTTTTTGACATCATGATTTATAATACCATTAACAATAACAACACTGTGCCAAATACAGTACATCTGACATTGTCATGACTTCAAAGGACCTACTGTCAGATGAACACAGAAGTCTTAGAAGTTTTTAGTATTGACATAGCGGGGCAGTGCACATACATAATGTGTACTTGTTTGATTTACACAATTTGTGATTTTATAGGTGTATTCTGTATGCTTAAACACATTATAGAAGAAAGGAAAGCCATTAGTAATAATAAAGACTCACCAGCAACATTAAGCATGATTCTTCTGGCTTTTTTCTATTATTTTATTTAGATTGTTGGTTTGAGATACTGTAAGTGAAACTCTTCAGAGTCTTCTGCTTATCCACCCTTTTATAATACTTTTCTGTCTAGTATAACATTTCATTAGCTGGCCTGTAGAGAATTTGTCTCTGCTCAGCAAAATATTTCTATCTCAGGGCAGAAAAATGTCTGGAAATAACTCAGAGGAGGGACTGTCACCAGATCTTACTACAGGACTTGTCATTTGTATTTGAGTTCTGGAGCACGCTGCAGGGCTACGTGAAATGAGAAAGCTGTACAAAAAGACATACATTTCAAATAGGTCACTTGAAAACTAAATGGTGTATATGCGAGAAGAAAGTCTCCACCCTGGATGCCCTAACACTCGCAATGTACTTGGGATTTATTTCTTCACTTTTCTTGCAAGACAGAATAACAGTACATTCATACCTGCAACATCAAATTCTATTTCCAAAGTGACCTTGTTGGTGATAGAGGAGTCTCTGAGCAGTTGATTGGCCTCATCAAATGTGCTGTCTTCCGTCGGGATACCGTTTATTGCCACTATTCTGTCTCCTATTTGCAGCACCCCACACCTTGGTACACAATGATACAAAACAATCATCAGATGTACATGTTACCAGAACCAGCAATATCAAACACATTCAACCTAACCTTGAAGGCGAAGTGTGGCACAGCAGCACAACAATCTACACAGGCACAGAGGGGACAGAAGCTGCTGCTGCCACTTTGCACCAAGATGCTATCAAGCACTCCCAGCATGGGTCGTGCTCTCTACAACCCAGGAAGAGGGGCACAGCCTTCATGCCTCCACCCCACCCAGGGACATCACCTCTGCCTCCGACCCTGGGTACAGGTCTTGTAGCTCTGCAATGGCAGCTAGTACTTGCCTGTGCAACTACTATTGTTCTCATGCCATGATTAAAGACATACATAAGCATAAAAATGCAATTGAAATGCTGCAACGAAATCGTTAGTAAGTCAAAACTCTGGTACTCCCTAAGATCTGGTTCTGTACCAAAACTGAACGGAGCTGGATATGGCCTCCCTCCATGGCACACTGAACTATTACTATTTTGACTTCAGCAATGTTTCTGATTTTTCTTTCCTTTTGCATAAATATAGCTTCCAGTCTCCTGCTGGAGGACTCTGGATGATAAAAACACTGGTGCTTGTCATTCTTCTTACAGCTGATCAAGTATACAAAATATCATTGTCAGAACAGACAGTTTATTACTTGCCACACTTCCATTGAGCAAGACCCTGCTATTTATCACAAATTGAAAGCAACAAGCCCAAAGTACCCCGAGGAATGCTCACCAAAATGTACTTAGCAGTCAATTGAAAGAACCTCACCTTTCTGCCGGGCTGTCAGACTCAATATAGGAAATGAGAGGTGGAGAAGACAAGGTCTCAGTAGCAAACACGCTACCCTGGAGCTGTATCCCAAACCCTACTATGGGGTCAGCTGTCAGCACTACTTCTGTGGTTTCTGTGTGGACGACCTGCCCAGCCAAACCAACAGTGCTAGAGGCTAAAGACACTATAAAACAGAGCAGACCAGGAGGAAAGACATTCATACACAGCAGAAATTTCATTGCTCCTTGAGAAAATTGATTTGTACAATAAACCTAGTCAACGAAACATCGCTTTTAAAGTCAATTTAGGCTAAAGTTTATAAATTATTTATAAACAGTTATGACATATAAGAGAACAGAAAACACCCGGTTGTACCTTAGAATGCAAAAAGATAGTTTACAAGAACTACACAAGAACTTTACTCAGTACAAGCTGAGTAAAATAAATGTGTTTGACACCCCCACCCCAAAAATCTCAGAACATCCTTGAATTCTGAATTCATCCATCTGAGGCATGGATGAGCAGAATTTCCACAGGAGCTAAGGGAATTGGAGGCACAAGCCCAGCTGTTATTCAGGCCAATTCCCATGAGCTCTTTTAAACGTCTCACAGCAACGCATTGTTGACAGCAACAAAGCACATGGCCCAGGCTTGCTTGCAAAAAATAAGGATGCCTTCCTCTTGTACATGTTTACTACACGTCAGCAATTTGTCAGGGTAGTGTAAGTTGAACGAACCCCTCTGCTTTAGCAAGCAGTATATCTCAAGAGACTGTGAGAAAAAAAGTTCTTTGGGGTCTCTCAAAGGAACTGGGGAACCCTCCTGTGAGAAACACAGGCAGCTACTTCTGTACTCCTGATTTACTCTCTCTATTCTCACTCTTGTTCTGAATAGCTTGCATTACTGAACAAAACAATATAAAAACAACATTGAGATTCAATGCAATTACCTATGAAGGAAGGAGACTGCACCTTTGGTTCTTTGATCTCTAAGATCAAATCTCTATTGTATCATTGTTTGAATTCCCCCGGTGACAGACTACTGTCTTTCATTATGTCATACACAGAAAACTAGAGTTTTTCAATTCCTGTTCAGACCAGTAAAGTAATGGTATGGTATTGTAATGATAATCCTCCAGTGTTGACGATTCTGAATGTTTTCATGTTATAATTCTATGCTGTCACCTCTCCACCTATTACTTCTTTCAAGACCCATTTCTGCCTGTAGTAGCTACTAAGAATTAGATAAAAGTTCAAGGTTTATCTGAGGGATAGTTTAGTTCATGGTTTATCTGAGGGACTGTTTAAGTGTGGATTTTTTTTTCCTTAGATGTGAAAAAACATTAGTTCCCTTTTTTACATTATAGGTGATATTAGCACAGCTGTACAAAGTTGTTGGAGGTTGTGTAAGTATTTCCTGCACCTTGGGGCTACAAGCAGTAGACTTTTGCTCTGAAATAGTTAGTACAAAATCTGATTAATGTGGCACAGTCAGCAATGACAATTTTGTTGCAAAAGTGTCACTTGCCAAAAACCTCATGAGTTTGTTTTCTCTCAGCAAAGCTCCTTTCAACTCTGAAACCGTCTTTTCTAAATTACTGTGAATTCTCATTCATATTTTGTTTTCATTTTCCTTTGTAAGAATTGTGTATTATTTCACTTATTCAATAGCTTCCTTCTTACTGTTTCTTTTATCTGCACTGAGTAAGACATGCTCATACCCAAATGCAAATAGTAATAATCTGTTAGAAATGGCCACCGGCTTTAGCATTTACTGCATGTGTAAAACAGGTTTCTCCAGCCCTCAGCACTGCAAAGGCTAAACTATGACTAAATCAGATAAATTCAGAGTTAATATAATACCGGATCCCCTAATGCACCTTCCGGAAATGTCTAAATTTAGGGCATCCAAGCTCAGAAAAGTTCCATTCTCCCTTTCTTTAAGGTCATACAATTACTTGCTAGCCGCGTCTTTGTTTCCCATCACCTATGTGTCCATTCCTCCTCTGCAGCAGGCACCTAGCTGACTCTGTAACTTTCTTACTCTTTTTCTAATAACCTACCAGGAACCTAAAGGTCTTACAACATTTATTTCAACTTTGAGGACAGCTAAGGTTTTAATTCACATTGGGAAATTAAGTTACTATTTGTGGGATTTAAAACTCACCCCAATAAATATTTTGATGATGTGGACACTTAAAAGTGACAATTAGGAACTCCTCCCACTCCCAAAGAAAACGAAACGGAAACAGGAACAAAAAAAGCAGAGATGAAAATACCCTTTCCAAATCATGTAACAATAGCTATCTGCTAAGCCTCTATAAAATGCCACAGGTATCCAAAAGCTTGACTTAGAGCATGTCGGGGTTTGTAACTGAACAATAATTGCAGCAAGAAACACTGCCATTTTTTTGGCTGCTTGATGGATTCAAAGTTTTAAAGGCCAGGAAGCAGCCTTATTGATTTTAAAAAGGGGGCATGGATGTACATGTGGTTCCAGTGAACCCTGGTTGCTACTACTAGGGGTACATTTTAGCATACTTGTATAGTTTTCGTCCAACTCTTAGCAACAGTTGTGGGGGCTGGTTTACTATATGCTCTGCAGTTATGTAAATAATAATCTCGAATTTGAAGATTATGTACTTGTTACTTTTATTCCTGCAGCCGTACGAGAAGCAGAGCAAGATATATTTAAAGGTACGTATATAGTTTATTATGCTTGCAGTCTCCTGCTCTGACCCTTGAGAAATTGCAGAATGTTCACTATTCCTCCTGGTAGCAGCTAACTTGCATGTGTTGAGAAAACAGCACCCATGCACATCTAAGACCCTCTCTAATTTCTACCATATATGCAGACCTAGTAACTATCATGTAAGTTGGTATAAAATTGTGTCTCACTTTCAAATACTAATATAGACCTATTACAAAATACTTCAGGACTTAAACTTTAACCAAATAATAATCTAAGTGTTTCCACAACTTTAAAACCAAAAAAAGCAGAGGAAGATTAAAAATTGAAAACGAGTGGCATAACCAAAGCACGTGACAGCAGGGCATGCCTTCAATTTTTACAGGCACATATTTGGAAAGATCTGTGTAACTAATGCAATGATTGTAAAATCATGGCCATAAAAGTCTTGTAACCCCTGTACCCTCACACTTGATCATCATGGATTTTGGCATGATCACATTAAGTTATGCAGGTTTTCCTAAATAATTGGCAATGTAAACTTTATAGCACCCTTCACCAATACATCCTATTCTTCCCAAATGACATCCTAAAAGATTTATTAAAAGTTACATTAATAAAAACCTCAATTGATCCAATTGGATCAAAGAAAAAAAAATTCCCACTAAAATTAAGAGAGTGTGCTATTCCTTCTCTATAAAAAGGACAGCAGTTGATGCTACCTGGTTGTCATGGGTCTCCCACAAAGGGAGAGGGGCAAGGTTTTCCAAGTCCTGTCGATGGATGGTGGAAGGGTACAGGACCAGTCATTCTCTATCATGGTCACCTGTAGCACATTCAGTTCAGTGTGGGTCTCTTACGCTGGCTGTTACTGCAGTCACAAGTATGGGTATAAGTCTAGCAAAAGGAGTAAGGACCTCTGCATGCGCTGAAAAGCAAGCTCACAGAAAGGGCAAGCAAGCTCACAGAAAGGGCAAGCAAGCGCAGCCGGCCAGCCAACGCCTCCAAAGCCAGCTCTGATTCAGGGTTGCTGATGTAGTCACTGCTCGTAGTGAGGCACAGACTCACTCAGTGATGGGGCCAGTTCCATGTATTTTGTAATGCTCTATACCCAGACCTCACAATGCAAATGCATAATAAACTACCCCACAACAAAGCCTCATCCTAATTCTTCCTAACTAGAGATTTGTTTAATCATAGCAGCCTGCAATCCCCAGGGCCTTCTGACTTGAAGAATCTTTCAGGTGGGCTGCAGTGCTTAGGTGACTGTCCCACTTAAATCTAATGTCACTGGCCTTGTTTTGAGCCTTTGCAGGATAGCAGATTGCACAGCAAGGCTTCCTTGAAGGAAAAATATCTAAAAAATATAATAACACAATTAACAGCTGTCTCCAAGATCCATAATAGGATTAGCTTTCAGGATTAACAGTCCTTTCTTGGATGGAACAGCTATAATACAGCACAATCAAAGAACTATTTTTGCATCCAGCATTATTTTACTATTCAAATCAATTAGTATTAGTGCAACATTACTACTGTTTCTCATGTGCACGTGAGGACACATAAGAGCTGGACCCCTACTGACACCACAGCACAGATGGACGCACTATCTCCCCGTGACCCAAAAGAATGCATTAGAAGCTAACGTGTCAACAGATGAGTTGTGAAAAATGGCTGATCAGATTAAAAATAAAAAAATGCACTTACAGGCAAACGTTATGTAAAAATATTTGCTTTACAAAAGAAGTAAGAACAAGCAAGCAACAAAAAACTGCAAGAAAGCAAAACCTCAGTTCCTCTCTCAGATGTTTCCTCACAACTCCATAGTGACTGGCCTTAGTTGGAGGCTGCTGGTTTGCTCTGAGTTTGCTATGACCACAGGAAATCTTTAATACGGGGCAGCAGCACTGTAATGCACAGCAGCTCAGTTTTTCCAGAGCGGACCTGTGAGCATTACTAGCCGGAGCAGATGATTTACAGAGCAGTTCTCACTTCCCTGCTCTGGAGGAACTGAGCTGCTGAGGATCACATGAAGATGGACAAGCCAAAAGGAGAGGCGGCACTTACATGGAGTCTGGGAAACAACGGCTGATACAGCCATACTCTCTCCGGCCCAGTGAATACTTAGCAATACGCAAAGTGGAACAGCCTGAAATATATCCACCCTGGCTTGGGAAATTACTGACTCGTGGGAAATCCATGCTTTGAATCCAGAGAGTGGTCAGAAACAAGGCTATTTAGTCTTCACTGTTATTTGTCGCTCTTCCTCACAAAAAATGACTGTACAGGTTATGGTGCAGATGTAAACATTAAAACTACCTAGGAGGTACTGTGGCAGTCTCTTCTTGTGTAATGTGATAGTTGGTTGAGCTTACAAGCCATCTGGCTTTGACTATTCAGCTATGAATTGTATTCCCTCCTGGAAACGGGAAGAGTTGAAAAAGGAATTTGAAAATCACTTCAGTAATGGTGTAACAAACTCTTCCAGAATTGTCTGAAGAAAACATTGCTTTATATATTTCAGATGAAACAGTCAAGCTGCATGGCCTCTACTCACCTCCTTTTAGCATTGGACAAATATTTTTACACTGCTGTTTCCCTACAACTGCAATTGTTCTCTCTTCTGCCTAGTATATACATACTAATTAAGGTACTTTGTACCTTTTTTTCTGTATCTTCCCCCTCCTCCACCCATTCACTGCACATTTTGAGCAAATGCTGTTACCACCTACAGGAGCTTTTGAAGTCCTTCTTTTTCATCCTCCGCCTCATCATTGTCCCACGCGGGCTGGTGGAGTAGAGGCTGCGAGGTAAGGTCCCCGTGTTCAGGGAACTCAGGCTGTATGCACTCATGGAGGTAGGAGAGAAGGATGAAGACACCAAAGCTGCTGTAAAACATCAAACACTTGGCATACAGCACTCAGTCTTCATGGAAGAGTGCGACACATGCCTGTAACTCATCAATGAATAAAACAATGTGTATGATGCACAGGAATGGTTTGTGCATTTCCAATAACAAAGACATTAAACCACATAGGTGACCCTAGGTGAAAGTAAAGTCAACATTTCATGAAAATACCTGCTGGAAGCTAACAAAGGTACTGTAGATACAAAAAGTACATTCATAGTATACAGCTTATTTTAGGCGAAGCATGTTAAATTAAATTTTTCAACACATATCCATGAACCAATGCAGATCAATATGTCTAGATACACCAATTTTAGAAATGCCTTTTTGTAGTAGGTAATTTCTGACAAAAGACTTGGAAGTAATGCTTTGCATTCAAAGATTGTGCTTTATATACACTACTCAAAACTAATGGTCTGCTCATATGGCTGTAGGGCTGGTTCACTGAGAATTTTCAAGCCTTTTCCTGTCTACAAAGGTTGCCTTGTTACAGAAAGGAAAAGGCATAAAATGTCAGAAATAACCTTGGCATGGCTATGAAAAAGCGCAGCATCCATAAAACTGAAAAGGTTTTAGTGCCTGAAATGGGAAAAGTATGAGTGAAAGAAGAGGGGAGGGAGGAGGAGGAAGAAGAAGAGGAGGAGAGAATATGTCAGCAGGAAAAAGCGTGGAACATTACGAAGGCTTTTTTGAGGAGGCGGTGTCTGGAATTTCAAGGCTGGCATCCTGCAATGGTCAGGGTGGTAGGTGTTATAATGGTGGTAGGTGAGAAGGCTGCTGTGGCTGTTGGCACACGAATCCCAGGTAAGTTGCCTGTTGCTTCTTTGAACCTTCACTGCCCACATGAAGGGATGATGGAAAATTAGAAAACAAAAGGACCAGAGAAGAGGGAAAAGTAACTGAATTGCACAAACAAAAAAAAAGTCAAAAAATGAAAATAAATTGAAAATAAAATAAAATGAAGTAATAAATAACCTGATCTTGTCTTCTTAGCAGGAGTGCTAACTTGAGGAACAGGAATAATATTTTTTCTCAGAATAAATGCTTCTGATTTTCTTTTTCTTCATTTCCTTGTATTTATTTTTAAAAAGATTAGTATTGAATCAATTTCTAATCTCCCTCTGGCTTCAGGAGCTAAGATTGCAAACTTCCTTAGAAAATACTAGGTTATTATATATGACCACTAACTGAAGGTTAATTAAGTCTCTCCTCGCATTCATCTACATTAAAAAATAAAACCAGATACTATACATAGCATTGCCTAGAATAGAGATGTTTACTTGACAGTTATTTTAATTTACTGTATTGACATTTTAATTTTGCTACCATCTATTGTTAGCATTATGCTACTCTGTGCAATAAATGACTTCCCTAGGCCAGCAGCACAGAAACTCTATCCTGAAGCCTGGTTAATAAAGAAAAATAAAAACCTGGGGTTCTTATTGATTAGTTGGATGTGCAATTTAATGTTTTTTAAACTTCATCTTCAAAACTTTAAAATTATAATTTTCTGTATCAAATTAGAGACCATATTTAAGTGCTGACTCTAAGTATGGGGAATCCGGGATATGCCAAAAGTGAGGGCCAGTATTTACCAAGAGAACGGGAAGCATTTCAGCTGATGTGCCAAATACTGAAGGAAAATGATTGAAGTCGCCTTTCATTAAATACACTCTAGTCATCATTAAATTCAGCGTAGCCGTGTCCTTGCTGAACTGTAGAGGAACACTTCAAACTGGGAACTCTTCAGTGATTTTTTCTCTTAAAACCACCAAAGGATTCACCTCTACTATGAAACTTGTTACTGCTTTGGCCCATGAGCTGCATTACCCGTGCCTCTCTGCTACCTGCTATACCTATGGCTGCAGACACATATGACTCCATGCTGGACTTGTAGCCCAAAATCTTGACTGTTTAGGTTGGACCCACACCTCGTGCTCACATCTTGCTCCATGAGACAAAATAAGGGGGAAAAGGGTAGCCACCGCAGCAAGCGCTGTGCAGTGCCAGAGGAAAAGCTATCCTTTCGTTTCACTTCGTATTATTACGTGAGTAATGATCTGCTAATTGTCTCAATATATTAACCCTCCTCTGACTCAAAAGCAACGCCTGTCACTACAGTGATGAGTAGGCACCAGGGACGGGAGAGGAGGAGGAGAACAGGGCCCCACCACGTCCCCACGGCCCGTGGGGCAGCTGGGACTCTGGGGGCCCTGGCACTGCCAGGCCTGTCCCCGCACCCCAGGTTGGGGTGCCCTGGGCCCCTCCCTGAGGGCACCTCTGCTGTGCCCTGACACGTGTTTCAATCCAAACAACTATTTTAATTTTTTTTTTCTCCCTCAACAGATAACAAAGGTGAGGGAGGGGTGCGACAGCAGCACCAGAAGGAGCGCTTGGTGCCACGGGCCGGCCTGCGCCTCAGGGTACCTCACCCACTGGCACCAGCGCCAGGCACCTCAGACACTTTGGAAAATCTCACATCAGCCAGAAAAGTCCCAGAAAAAGCACCAGTAGCATGCTATGGCCATATGTAACTTACAGACCTATCATATCTTCTCAGATGAAACCGTCTCTTTGATTACGCACACGGACAGTAAGATTTCCGAACTTTAACTATGGTGTAAAAATTAAAATCTGATAAGAACAATGTGGCCAGGTGGATTTTCATTATTTTCAAGTTGCTATGAGCCTCATTTAATTAAAAAGACTGCTTCCAGCAGGAAATTGTCTGGTAGTCTTTGATTTTTTTTTTTTAATGTTTTATTTTCACACTGAGAGTAGAGATAAAAATGGCCTACAAAGTGGGAAGGTACACAAATTCAGTTTGCTCAGCTTGTAGAAGGATAATCCCAATTCAACAAAAGTTCTGTAAAAGAAAATCCTATTGTGTGTAACTGTAGTAATTTAGCAGTAATTTGAGCTATTCCAACCCAGGGTTGTGTCCAGCGAACATAAAACTAATGGGGCAGCAAGAGAAATGAATGTTAGCAGCACAGTATAAAGGAAAAAAATATGAAAAAAATTCTGATCTTTCATAGCGCTCTTCATTTTATTTTAGGGCTAAAATTTCTATTTATTTTATATACTGACTTTCCTGCCCATTTTAAATTCCTAACATGTTCCCGTAAGACCAATAACTGAGCTCAACAGATACAGCCCTAATGACTCAGCTTATCCCACACACATAAAGGGAGCTTTTCAAATTCTGCAACATCTAGGCCATACCACACTTGATGAAAGGCTGTTTCCAAGAGGGTACTTGCTTCCATAAAGCATGTTACTTCTTGAATTGGTTGTGATATTGGAGTAGCACCACCTGGTGAGGGGCTGGGAAGGGCTGTAAACATCCTAGTTATTCTGCCTTACTTAAGAAAGCAACTTTATTACCTTAGGGAGATTCCTCCCCAAAAGATGTGTTATGTAGCTTTTGCAGATCCCCTATGATATGATTTTGTAACGGCCATTTCTTAACTCTGGTTTGGCAAGAGCATCGCTTTACTGGGTCAAGGTGACTAGCACATTAACAGCATCAATTTGTTTTAAATGTTGGTTAAGAAACCAACTGCTTCAAGTAATACAATAATCTACACAAATCTTTGGCGCTGGCACTCTTTCCCAAAAGGAACACTCTTCAAAGGTTCTTTAACCAGCCAGAAATCGATTGTGTGACATCTTTGCTTCAAAAAAATGAAAGATCTGTTTGCAACATAGTGTCATAAATGAAAAGAATGGAAATATATCGCAAATTTTGGTCTCCATCTCATTCTGCTTCTGCAGTATCACTCCCTGGTCCCTCGCCCCTCTAACTGACTTAAGTAGGAAGGGGAAAGAGGTGCAGCTGAATAATGGAAGAACATGGTATTGCAAGGGTTACTTTTTGCTCACCCTGGTCTAGGAGAAACTAGGGTCTCCTCAGCCACTAGTTCAATATTCACCACTCTGACAAACTGACTAGAGCATTGCTTATCCAGGGACAACCTGGATCTTACATAGATGTCCAAGAACATTTACCATCAGTGACATTTCTAGGTCTCAGAAATCTTGTCTTGGTCTAAAGGAGGCAGAAGCACAGTACCACAGGCTCAGAAAATGGTACCACTGGTTCATGCTGCAACACAGGTACCTGTTCTCGGTGTATTTGATAACCCTCGTAACTTCTTTGATGTCCATCAACATGCAGTATTTTAGACTAAATTTATGAATACTGTGAATTAGCCACTTTCTCAGGATTAGTTAGAAGACAAGACAGGCAGCCCCCATCTTCAAATACTAAGACATTTTATATATATTCGATTTGAAAATGGAAAGCCATTCTCTTCAAGCATGTTGGTATGAAATAAATATCACGGTGAAAAAGGGATCTAGGGAACTGTTTCCAAACAAACCTTTTTCATAAGCACTGACAATGGACCCATGAAGCAATCTCAGAAGTACTTTAAAAAATGATGGCAATAAATAATAATGCCATTAACAAGAGAAAATACGGGTTTTTTTTGAGGTATTTTAGAGGAGAAGAGGTGTTATTAATCAAGTGGTCATAACAGACTATCAAGTCAATATGCTGGAAAGAAGTTGGCTTTGGTCCTTCCTCCCCCCTCTAAATTTAAGAAGCAATTTAGAGATTCATTTACTGAAGTACCTAGTTGCACCCCCAATATTTGCAACAGTAGTGTCAACAGGTGTCTTTATGTACATCTGCAAATGTGCAGAGCCATTTCTCAGTAAAATATTTCCCTCTCTACCCATAGGAATCTCAGAGGGTACATTAAGGCTGAGAAAACAGAGCTTCTCAGAAACTGCAGCAGCATAACCTGGGGAGCTGAAACAACATTTACAGACATAACTGCTGTGATAGCTTTCTTGACCATTCAGCAAGGGCAGGTGAACTAAAAGACAGAAAAAGAAAGGAGTATTTGGTGCTACAGATCCTCTTACCATGCTCCGGGCCTTTCAGTGCTAGCCGTGTCTGGTGGTGAGGAAGGATCTCAAGTTTGACATTATCCGCTGCGTTAGCCAAAAATTGCGTTGCTTCTGCCAGCGTACAGTACTCCATGCTGGTGCCGTCAATGGACAGAATATGGTCTCCTACATGCAATGCACCACATCTACATAAAAGGGGAAAAACTCGGTATGATCAGGTATGTTTTTTGCTTGGAAAATGAGTTTTACTGCCTTCAAACTGGTCATGACAACTATGAGCGTGTTCTTTTTTTTCGAGAGAGATTTGTGTTTTGTAGGCATTGTCACTGGTCAGACTTTATGTCTATTAGTATAAACCTTAAAAACAATTCAGTTAATACAGTATATGCCCAGACATCACTCACAGAACTGGAATGGGGTAGCTGACTATAAAAATATGTGCGAATGGCAGCAGAATAAAATGAGAAGAGCTTAAGGAGACTCAAGTAACTTGGTCGCATATCCCTCACACAAGCACCCAGTTCATCATTTTTTGAGTTATAGTTCAAACATTTATTAGTACAAAAGCTGTAAATGACGATGAAATTATGCAGTAGTCAAACAAATAATGAAACCAGGGCTAGCATGGTGACTTGAGGAGTGGGGTGGGGAGGGGGCTATCTGCTAAATCTCGCTGCACTCAAGAGACTGGCTACTGGATGAGTTGAGAAATGCAAACACAGCAGTCAGCATCCCGACGTACCAGTCAAGTGGACAGCTCCTTTAATTGGTTACCCCCTGCGAAATGGGAAAAAACAGAGGGAGAAAATTAAAGCATCCTGCACCATTGAACTGGAGAACACCCCTGGATCAATGGCCGTCACTCTCAAAGTTTCTACTGTAGGGAAAAGCCCACAGAGGAGCTGTAGACTCACTGCTACAAGTGGGTGCTACCAAAAGCACCATTGTCAAAGAGGAGTTACAAGGTAGGGTGACTGGGGACATGCAGGAGAAATTTGCTGCTGAAACGTAATTTTTAAGGATTTTTTAGATAGAGATATGTATATAGAAATATACTGTATTTGTATAAACACATACACACACGCGCACACACACACGCACCCCAGAAAAGATCCCACAGCTCTGTTAACAGAGGCTTGGAGCATTGGGGAAAAATACCCATCTTTTTTTTTTTAATGGTTTAAATGGTTTTATTTAAAGGTTTAAATGAAGTGGAAAAATTACTGCAAAATCACTCCAAAATACAGAAGCCAGTCTTTCTAATACCTCAGTCATATTCTAAAATACCAATAAAAAAATCCAGTCAGAAGGAGTTCCATTTCACTGTGGCACAAGAATGAGCGATATATTCCAAAAGAACACTTCAAGGTTGCAAAGCCTCGAAATTTACTTCCCTTGAGAGCTGTTCCATATTGTATGCTTACTTTAAGAATTCCAGTGGGTTATTTATTTTTTTAAACACTAATCTCTGCTGCAGCATTACATTTAATAGTCAGAGCAGATCTCTAAACTTCTGTGTTGCACAGTGCAAGCAGACAGTCACATATTGCATGGGGGCTGGCTTATGTCATTCACATACTATGTGAATGAGCTGAAGTAAATGGTGCCCTGGAAGTCTTAAACTCAGCAGTATGGAACAACGATCTGACAAAGTGCTAATTTTAAGATCTAGCAATCGTGAGAGCATCTGGTTCAGTCAAATTCCTCAAAAATGGAAGCGTTTCTTTAAAATCAAACCAAATGAAAGTAGAAAATGGATGTATGGACCTGCAGTGTAAGCCCTCTGTCACACTCACCTGTCTGCAATACTCGCAGATTTGATTTTGTCTATGACAATGACCTGTTTGTTGCAGCACATCGAGGTAGTTAGTGCAACCCCAAGAGCAGCACCAGGAGTTTTGGCAACTTCAACTAGAAGTGGTCCAGATGCTGTTGCTACTGAATCTGTTAAAATTAGAAAAAAAAAGATCAGTATGATACCAATGTGGTACTTACGCCATTTTCACATTTTCCTACATAATACCTCCATGGCTATTCTATTTCTGTAAGCAGACAACATGCCACATAAAGAAATTCTGGAATAGCATCAGTTTAGGTGTCAAGAATCAGCTCTTAATGTTGAAACCAATAAAAGCAAGAGGAGGTTTGTGAATCTGGGATGGGGGGAAGCTTCTGAGTGTGTCAGAATCAGGGATGGACCAGGTTAGGAAATGACGATGCATTAGCGAATTACTCTCTTGCACAACTAAGCTAAAGATCACCTGGGATTTAAAATAGGCATTCTGAAGAAACAGAATTAATAAAAAAAGTAGAAAATTATCTGAAAAAAAATACAAACTGAATAGGTTAGAGAAGGATGCTAAATTAATTTTCAGAGAAGAGGAAGGTCTGTGGACAACAGCTATAATAATTAAATGAAGAAGGTGAAACAAGGGTCTACCAGAAATACCTCACAAAAAGAAAGGACAATTTAGGAGAAAATGGAGAAAGTGCAGGAGGCATGACAGCTAGAAATAGTAGGAGTTAAAGCAAAATGCATGTGAGGAGGTTCAGAAGATTCTTGTAATATCCTGTCACTGGATAAAATACTGACTTGCAACAGGGCACAGACAGTAAATGACCAACACTGAAACAAGAAAGCAGAAAAACAGGAGGCAGCAACAGTCATGACTGACGACTGTGGTGAGGAGCTATGTCCAAGAAAGACAAGTGCTAGACAGAACAAAGAAAAAAGACAGCAGGCTGCTCCCTAAATGCCAAAACAAAGCAGGCAATGATAAGGGTGAAGTACATTCTGGAGACTGCCTGAGAATTCCTACTAACCAATACCCATCGATCAAGAACTGATGTCAGTGGAGTAAGATACAGTAAGCGAAGGCAAGTTTTAAGGACATAAAAAGACCATCAAAGAAAGCGATATCAGAAGCCTTTGGAGGTGCTTACAGTCAGAATAAGGAAAAAATGGATAAGCAAAGACATGCTGGAGTAAAGTTACCAAAAGTCCTGTTAGCAAGCAGGAGAGATTCACGTTCACAGTGTACTGGGGCCTGCTGTAAGAATACTAAGAAAATGTTCAATTGCAATGTCTCTCAGAAGTCCCTAAGATTGAAGCTGAAAAAGCAGCTGGGCTTCAAAGCATGGAGGAAAAGACAGATGTCAAGATATTTCATTCAGTCTTAAATCTAGCAAATTAGTCCAAAAATGTAATTCTGACACAGAAAAGAAAGACTGTGAAAGAGAGCATTATCGTACAAAACTAACAAGCTATATACCATGATACAAGAAATGGAATGAGAGCTTGATTAGCTAACGCTCAGCTCAGGTGCTCTTCCCAGTTAGAATGCAACACAGGTAAACAACATAGAAGTGTATAACATATGAAGTGAAAAAAGGTGCTCGGATGGAAAAACATATAATACCACTAAAGCATCAGTTAATTATTATAGAACTCCTTTCCCCCCCACAACTTGAAATATTTTTTTTATTCCTGTTTTCTTTTTTCCAGTTAGAAACCTGAAGGGGAGATTTAGTATTTTTGAAAGTGCCCATGAATTCTGAGCGACTCATTTTTGTGCCCAACTGGGACTGACTTTTTAAAGGCTGAACTTCCACAGGCACTACCAAAATAAGCTGCTCCATAAATCTGAACCGAACTTTAAACCACCGTCCAAAGGAAGAGAATTCACCCAGAAGCAATCCTGCCTGGAACTTCAGGTACTAAATAGCTTTAAAGTTGGATGAACTGCCCTCAGCAGCTACCCATCTTTCTCTAGTAACTTAAGGAGGAGGTTACCACAAGCAAATTGCCGCCTTAGATGCCTTGGTTAAGGGTCTAAGTAAGGCGGGATGCATGCAGTGGCTTGCATACAGCCAAATAAGCACGCATAGCAGAGCAGAATTTAAGAGCTCCCTATTCCCTTTCCTGCACTGAGAAACAATTATCTTCTCGAATATTTGTCCTGGTTTCGGCTGGGATAGAGTTAATTTTCTTCCTAGTAGCAGGCACAGTGCTGTGGTTTGGATTTAGGAGAAGAATGTTGATAACACGCTGATGTTTTAGTTGTTG